GTGGCCAAAAGTATGTCAGAGGTCAAATTCAAGCTCACGGGAAGACTGTCAATATATGAGTTCCTATTCAAGTCCAGTAGTATCTATGGGCTTATATGTGCCAGTTTTGGAGATATAAGGGATGTAAAATTTCCAAAGTTCAGTCCATGGTGAAAAGCAAGTCAAAGGTCAATTTCAAGGTCACAGATTGCTAGTATATGACTTCTGATTCAAGTTCAATAGTAACTATGGGCGTATCTCTGCCAGTATTTGGGATATAAGGGATTGAAAATTTGATGAAAAGTAGGGCAAAGGTCAATTTCAAGGTCACAGTTAGATTGCCAGTATATGACTTCCTATTCAAGTTCAATGGTAACTATGGGCATATCTCTGCTAATTTAGTTATTTCACATTTTATTTTCACCACTGAATATTGCGACGTTGCACTTTTCGATATGGTGCAACTTGTAAACCATATGGACAAAAAAAAAAAAAAAAAGGAAAAAAAATGGATACCACCTTCAGTGTTGTGCTTGACTAGCTCTATAAAACAAGAGGTCTTAAGCATTTACGGTTCCAGAATTAGAGAGTTTTTTAGTTTTGGCATCTAATAATAATTTATTAAGCCAATAAAATACAAATGTATAAAATCGGGAATCTTTTGCCCTGTAGTAGCGCCATTGAAATTTAAAAAATGAAAATGAAAATTACATGTTAGAGTTAAAAATAGTTACTGCCGAAGGATAAAAGCTATTTAAATGGCCTAATAATCTAATGGCCTCTCCCATGAAAATGTACCGATTGACCCCAAACTCAGGAAGATGAAAGATGACCCTAAGTGTAACACCTCCCCTTGGCACAAATAAAAATTTTTTTGCAAAAAATACCCATTTTTAGAAAATTTTGGTCTGTTTGACCTTGAAATTAGATAGACATTTAGCATTTAATTTTGCAAGGTCTGCGCTCTCAGAGTGCTTTTCTGGTTATCAATCTATTTTGATATCTCTCTATTATATTAAATTTTAAAATTAAAATACTTTCCCTTTAAATATTTATGCAATAATCTTTAAAAAGTATCCTCAGATGAATACATTTCATTTGCCACACCATTAAATATCATAATATATGCCCTGATCTATAACATCCGCAATTTAATTACAATTTAATTTAATTACACATGCCATGACATGCCATATAAACAAACTGGAAGCTCAACTGTAAATTATTTGGTCAATTAACATGCTCATTATTCTGTTAACAATGCAAGGAGCCAATAAGGCTAGATCGGGATCTGGCCTGTGACATATTTATTGTAAAATATGGACCTCAAATGAAGAGTTGTTATTCATTTAATAATAATAATAATAAATTTATTTTGAGTCTAAAATCCATTATAACATGTTCAGAAGACTACATATACATGAAACAATTACCTAAGAAATCAATTATTAGAAATAGATAAATAAAAAAATTAGAGCTTAATGACAAAAAAATTTAAGAGTAGATAAAACATACAGATTCTCATATGAAAGCACTTACACTACATAAATAAAATGTTTGTTAAGAAAAAATAATCAATTCAAGGTAAAAAAAACAAAAAAAACAAACCCTTATTTGCACACAGAAAAAATTATAAGTACAACAGCCTTATTTCATACAAGGCACAAATACAATTACTATAAAATTTGTAAAATCAATTTAAAAGTCGATTAGTCAAAAAATTTCCTGAATAGTTGTCTTCAATTCTTTTTTAAAATGCTTGGTAGACTCAATGGATTGGATTTCCAGTGGTAATAAATTCCATTCCTTTGGACCTGCTGATTTAAAAGAAATGTCACCACAAGTTTTTAGGCGCATTTTTACTGGCTTAACAATTTGTCTACAGACCGCAGGTTTCTTGCTGGAATATAGTGAGTGACTAATTCACTTAAGTAGATCGATGCAACTTTGTAAAAAGCATCATGAACAAAGACTAGAAATTTAAATAATTTAATGAAATTGAATGATATACCAATCAGTATATCATATCTGTGTAAAGACTTGAAAGTTTGCCAATTTTGCTTCAGACTTTTTAGTTTGTATGATGTAGAAATTAGAAATGTTACATAAAATCAGTTATTTAAAAGTCATTTGTTTGAAACGTATCGTATTTCAGTTAATATGATTCAAATATTTACTGAAAGAAAAGGTCAATAAACTGCTGTAAATTTTTATGTAACATTCTACAAACTTGAAAAATTAAAATGCCACACACATGGATTTCCACATATTTATTGATGTCACATTTGAGTGACAGTTACAACTGGTGACAACACTCTTTTTCCTAGTCACCTATCCTTTAAATACATGTATAATGATAGCAATTCACTGAAACATTTCCTTTTACAGAATTATATCAGCACTAAATCTTCCTGAAATATTAATTTACAGTAATCACAACTGACATAGTGGTGGTGTATATTCATAAACCAATAGAGAAGAGTTCAGTTCTCTAATCACAAAGTTCTAGATATACCATGGTTTTATGGCACAACTATCTTCAGAATCAAACTTTAAATCACAATAGTCTTGTGAGACTGATGTTCCCCAAAGAATGCAGGAGAAAGTGGAATAATCTGTTTGACAATGTCACATTATTCTGTTTCCATGCCCTCCTTGATATCACCATCTGAATCATACTGAAATGGACACGTTACAGTAAAAAAAATAAATCTAAACAAAAAAGCTCAAAAAATAATACACCAATAACAGAATATTATGAATGGTAAATGTAATGACAAACTATAAATAGTTTGCTTAACATAAGCAGCGGGCAACACACAATATCAGTTTGTGCAGGTTATATTCTGACAAGTCCAGCTAGCCAGTATATACAGGTCGTCTTCAGCTTGGCAAAATGAGCACCTAATTTCTAATTCCAGTTTAACATCGAGAGATGTGACAAATTAGTTATCAAAGTGATGAGCCAAGTTTTTTACAACTACAGACAACATGGAAAGAAATGGAAAATGTACCTTTGCAGTTTTACCTATGTTCTTATCTCAGTTCTTATCTCCTTCAACACGCACAAAACTTCCAACTTTGCTACAATTCTGAATAAGACTTCACAATGAATTGACACAGTTGTGCTAATGTCATTAAGCATACCTCTAGATACAAATAGCTGCAAAGCTTTAGTTCTGATTATACATTAAATTGAGTGAAGCTTTACCATACAAATTGAATAAGATTAATGACGGCCTTTCCACCTAATTAATACAGGTAAATAACAACAATAATTAGAATAGTTTGACACTATATGTGGAACTTATATCTAATGTTTCAGGTATAAATAATGATATATGCTATCTTCACATTAATATTTAACTCAGCATAGTTCAGATACCCCAGGGCCCTTTATTTAAATACCACCCTTCACATGTCCATTGTAACACTTGCCCATTCTATGGAGAACTTCAGTGTCCAAAACCAGTAATAGAAAGTGTTCACACACAATACATGTACATTTAACAAATAACATTTGCCAACCTGTACATAAAAATCACTTTGATACAGAGAAATTATATACAAGTCTTGTTATAGACAGTGTACTACTTCAAGAAACTTCTTAATCACCAATTTGCTTCTACAATACACCTTTTAACTCTTACTGTACAAATAAAGTGGTTGCACATTATATCACTATGGAAAAAATGCCCTTATTTGGTATCTGCCTGGATTCATATGGGCATTTTCTTCCAATTTCACACCCATTTTTTAACTCCATGGCCAGTACTACATCAGTATTTATCACACCAAGCTGAAACTCCTTCCACATGATGACAGTTCACTTCTACTGGTGTTGTAAACCTATCCCACAATTCACTACATTTGCACAAGTAATGACTGATCCATTGACACATAATTCACATTCTTGTGCAAACTGATATTTGACATACACATGATAAAGTGGGGTGGTGAAAATTAATAATAAACTCAGTCCAGTCTGCTTTATATGCACATGATATTTTGGTTCCTGGTGTAAGCGAGATCAGACACCAGCGATGAGATGCCCATGTCCAATGTACAGTCATAATATACAGGAATATTGATTGGTCTGTGCCTGAAACAAAGAAGCAGCAAATATAAATACACTCCACAGTTGGTTCATGTACAACCTAGTGGATATCAATATTGGTAAAAAGAGATATTACAACCCTTTTGTGAACAACAAATCTAAGTCGAGTACTGACTATTAATGAGTTATAAACATTAAAGGGATAATAACTCTTTGTTTTGGCCAAAAAATGAATTTTCCTGGAGTAAACAATTTTCCAATACTTACCAATGGTTAACAAACCCATTTTTACATTCAAAAATAGTCCCTGGTGTTTTTTCTAAAATCTTTGTTTTTTTGTTACCATCTTTCCGGAGATTATAACAGAGTATAGCCATCAATGGAGGTCATGTAGTCTAAGACAAGCTAAGATATCAGAATAATAGCTATAACTGCTGTTTTTGTGGTAAAACAGAATATATTATATTTCGCAGTGTTTTTATTGTGAAATATAGATCTCATACAAAGAGTTATTATCCCTTTAAAGACAAATTAAGGTTTTCACTTCACTTTTCCCAAGGAACAAAAGTAAATTATTGTTTTTTTTTTAACTTATCATAATCATCGTACAAATTCAAAGAACTTAAACAGTGATTAGAAGGTTAAAACATTTGGAAGGTCTCACCTACATTGTTTTCTCTCACAAAGCACCAAATGGGTCATTTGGTTGCTGAGGACTTGGCTGACCAAACGCATTCATCTGTGGAGATGGTTGCATGCCCATTCCCATAGGCTGCATGCCCATTGGCTGCATGCCAATACCAGGGGCCATTCCCATTGGCCTTGGTTGCATGCCCTAAAAGATAAAGAATAAATAACGACACAGCCATTACATAAACATTGATTTTTTTTTTTTATAACAGCAAAAAAGAATACTAAATTTATGTTATAGAGCTCATTGCAGCGAGTCACATTCATGTGGCTTATTTGTTGCAATGGGTTTTTCTTAGTCATGTTTGTTCCAGGGCAACTGGAGACAAATCGTACATTACCATATATGGCTGCATTCCTGGCTGACCATATCCCATCATTCCTGGTGCCATCATGCCAGGTTGTCCCTTAAATAATGAAATGAGTTTGAATTTTTTTTCTTTTTTAACAAAATTTCTTAGTGATAATAAACAACCTGTTAAAAATAAACCAATTGCCTAGTTCTTGGTTCTCAAGAGAGCTAGCAATTGTGAACTGTAACAATATCTGAAATTGAAATGGTTTCAACTGGAGCTGTTGAGATTTCCCCTAACATATGCTTACCATAGGAACCACATTAGGTGGCTGCTGCCATGTGGGTGGTCCAGCTGTAGTGCTGGCTCTAGGAGGAGGCTGCCAGTTGGCACCACCTGTCTTCTTCTGTTCACCTTTAGGATTCCACTCATGCTGTGTTCTAAAAGGAAAGGAAGGGTATCTAAATGGTTGGTGTGAACCCAATGTGTTGATAAATATAACAATTTTTCTAGATTTGCAAGGACAGTGTACAAAAATGTTTTGTGAAGCAATATAATTTCTATATTTCCAAATTCCGATAAACATAAAAACTTTTGTCTTTAAACCTTTGCTGACTAGCTTTTATGCTGCAACTTTTTTTACAATGGTTTCACAATCTGAAAAGTCAAAGCATATATATATATATATATATATATATATATATATATATATATATATATATATATATACTTTTCTTTGTTAACTTTAATTTGAAATAAAAAATGTAATAATTAATGTTACAAATCTAATAAATTTTACTCTACTTTTTTATTTGATCATGTTTAATGCTCAGATTTCCAGCAAGTTGCATTAGGCTGGTGTTCACATCTCCCTGAATGAGTTTCTCATCTCTCTTCTCTTGGACTGGTGCTGTGGACTGTGGCTTCAAAACTTCACCAAAACCATCAAAACCTTAAAGCAAGAGGTATGTTTTGCCTATTAATAAACACTGTCAATTTTGATTTGGACAACAACCAGTGGGGTCCTGATGCAAGCACAAAGTAAATTTCTATTAATACAGCAATACTGGCACATGCACAGCTGCTGCAGATATCAGGACACCTATTCAAAGTTAGGTGGAGAGTGTGACTACTTTCTTTTATACATATTTTATTTAAAACATGTAAAAGTAATCCATGTTTTATGGTTTACTGAAATCATTTTGACTAACACATTAATCATATTCATGTACTGTCATACATAATGAACATGAAATTATAAGGAAAGTTAAAGGGATAATAACTCTTCGTATGAGATCTATATTTCACAATAAAAACATTGTGAATAACTCATAGAAATATAATATATTCTGTTTTACCACAAAAACGACAGTTATAGCTATTATTCTGATATCTGAGCTCGTCTTTAGACCACGTGACCGCCATTGATGGCTGAACTCTGTTAAAATCTCTTAAGAGATTTTAACATGTTAAAATCTCTTAAGAGATTTTAACAAAAAACCAAACTTTTTAGAAAAAAAACAGGGACTAACTTCGAATGTAAAAATGGATTCATTAACCATTGGTTAGTATGGGAAAAATTGTTGTTTACTCCAGGAAAATTCATTTTTTGGCCGAAACGAAGAGTTATTATCCCTTTAAACATAAAAAAGCATTCAAGAACGAGCAAAGAAGTCATATATTAAAAGTGTTAAAACATGACATTTTTCAATTCAAGCCAGACTTAAGCAAAATGCATGTGGAATATCTTTAAGCAAGACAGGCATTGACTATGAATTTTAGAGCGTTCTACATATAACCCTCTCCCAAATTAAGCATAATCACCTTGTTCAGCCTCTACAGCACCTAAAAGGAAGGGAAATAAAAAAGGAAGCATTTTTACAAAAGAAATGTGAAAAGGTCAGGCCCAAGCAGGTGAAGAAAAAACTTACTAATATAATGAAAGACTTCTAATAAAGCATTTGTTACTGCCATTTACTTAGCACAATATTATGACAGGAATAAGGTAAAGTATAAAGCTATTAATGAAATTAAACTAGTCCTTATCAAACCACAGTGCTATTTAATAAAATCATTTCAAATATAATTTATCATGATGCATTCCTTAACTCACAGTAAGAATATTACATAAAATCTTCCCTGGAAAATTTCAATCACAACAGTACTACAGTCACATTCAAACAATCACACGAACAAATAACTAATAAAAACACAAATACTATGAATCATACAAATCAAATAACCTGTTGTTGAGTGCCTATCAAACGAAATGGTTCTGTATGGAGGAAACATTCAAGTGTGGTACTTTGACAAAAAATCTTTCTAGAATGGTGCTAAAAAGAAACCCATACTAGCACACTGGAACTTATAGTACTTGATCTATAAACAGAGAAATATCAAATAGTTCAAACATAATATTCACAGTCTATTGAACAAAAGAAGTCGATAGATATTCATATAGATAGACAGATACCCCCTTTTGGATCCGAATAAGCTGACAATATCTTGGCATGTACTACAGAAAAGGAAAATGAAACACATCAACATTCTAGTGCTTTGGCTTGGAATACAAGTTACTTTTAAATCAAAGAACATCCTGTCATAACTTAACTGGAAATGTTCACAACATCAACACTAAAAACAAAGTTCAACTAAATACTTCAATATCCAACCATCCTCATCAAAAATAACTATGGTCAAATGCATGAGTGGAAGTAGATTTATAAAAATTGGTCCCCACCATATCATACCATATAAACCACTGTGCTTTTATTTATTATCTTTTTGAGCACTAATATACACAAATGTCAGCTTTGACTGATGTCTTCAAAATATTCATCTAACAATCACAAAATTTGCACATATGATTTTTATTAGTGGTTTAGAAGAATACCAAAAAGAGTACATATTATAATTAAGGGTAATGCATTAAAAATGTCTCTCTGTTATTTGTGGAGACACACTGACCTGCTTTGGTTGTTGGCTGGGCAGCGGGTATTGGAGAGAAGATCATCTGACCCATTGGAAAGTTGGGCATTTCCATTTGATTTGATGCTTGCAACACAACAGAAGCAACTTGAATTATCCAACGTAACCCAATGGCTCTTGTACTAACTAACTTATATAAATATTATACATATATCAAGTTTGCAATTAAGTACTACATTTTGTTTTTGTATCTAGCCAAACTCTTAGATGAAGCATGTCGCTAAAATATTTATAGTACTCAATTCATGAACAATACTCAATATAAACAAAAAGGGAGAAAACATCTAGCATGTCTGTCTCACTACTAACTACAACACAGGTGACCAACACCTTAAATTGTATTAACAGCTGGTGAAACAGAAAGAGAGGTAAAAGAACTTAAGATCACCAAAACCTAGAATGTCTCCTTACTCCAAACTGAAAGGAGGAAACCCAACAATACTACTGGCACTATATTAAAAAAAAAAATAAAAAAATAAAACATGTTTAAATAAAATAAAATTCCACAAATTAGCCACCACCCTACAGAGACATGTTGTTCAGTTGAAATGTGCCATGTTGTGCCACCAACCTGTTGGGTGTGTTGCACTTGGAGAGGTAGAAAAGAGCAACTCTCCTGCAAACAATCCACTTGCTGCTTGGAACAAAGCCATGTATGTTAATAAAGAACACCATTCTTTTTAAAAACTAAGTGTAAATATCATTATCATGCACAGAAGGCATTTACTAGGTTTTGATAAATGATACCTTAATAAGATTTGTATTTTATTTGTCAAATTATTATGTGGCACTATCAAACCCCATTAAAATAATAAGATGCTCCACTTTGAAAATACAGCAAATATTACAATCTGAATTACTATATGCCCAACCTCTAGCAAAAATTTTCAGCACACTTCAGGTTTAAACTCCAGGGGAACTAACCTGCACTTTGAGCAGCAGGGGCTGGGTCAGGTGCAAACAGCAAGTCCCCAAGCTGGTCTAAGCCAGACTCCTTCTTAACAGCTAACATAAAATACAACTCATAACTGTGAACAATGGAAAAATTCCATAATAACCCACAGCCATTTTGGCAAAGACCATGAAGCAATGGCTCATCACTTTTTTCTCCCAGAACCGAAATCTTTTATTATTTGACTTAACTAGAATAAATCCAATTATATTATTACTAGCTATACAATGAAGGTCCATCCCTTCTCCCCTTTTAGAGAAATAATGAAAATGAGATTATTTGATGTATAAAAATATTTGATCTCATACTGAGAGTATGAATATACATATGTAAAGGCAACAAATTTTGATAATTGGCAATTGTCAGATTAACATTTCTTTTACCAACCTGGTGCTGGTTCAGTAGGAGACATAGTAAACAGCAAGTCTCCTGTTACAGAGGGGAAAACTTTCTCTTCAGCAGCTAAAGAAATGAAATGACAGTAGAAGGCACACAAGAAATTCATCAAGTACTAGAAAGTTGCACCATTCAACAAACAGAATAAATCAGCCAAACTTTAGGACAGCCCCTGAATATAACCCTCTAAAATGACATGTATCTGTTCACCAATTTTTTCAAAAACATATGAAAAATCTCTATCAACAATTCACATTTTTTACATGAAATTTCATTATAAAATGGATTAGATGATCAAACTGTATCAAAAGGAAAAAATTGGAATCCACAAGAGGCTCCATAACATTGGAGACCTAGTGGTAGCTTTGCTGGAGAGGGCACAGCAGGTGGTGGTGGAGAAGAAGGGAAAAGGAGCTCTCCTGGAGAGGGACTGGCTTCCCTGGAAACTATAAAGAAAAGCAAAATATAGATAAAAAGCAGAGAGAGAGAGAGAGAGAGAGAGAGAGAGAGAGAGAGAGAGAGACTCTTATTCTCAGATATATCAGCCTTATAATTACAATGATGTTCTGGTCATTCAACTAAAGAACTTTTCTCTGAGAAAAATAGAACTTACAAGAATCAACTTCTTTGAACTACAATTTTCTGCCAAACACTAAGTACAAGACAAAAAAATATCCCAAACACCCAAAAGTGTACAAGTAAAGCTATCATAATTGGTACTCAGAAACTGCAACTCGTAATCAACTAATTTTTTTTTTTTCATATAATTTGGCAAGAAAGAAAAAAAAAGAATAAATGGCAAGTGTATCCTACAACTGAATCAGCTGGTCACTTCTAAAAAACAAGGAGAGGTGCTGAATTTACTGTTTTGCTTAAATAATTCATTAATTATGAAGTCAGAGAAAAGGAATGACAGTAGAGTAAAAACACAAAAAGAAAACCATGTAACTCTGAAGCACCGACCTGTTTTGATCTGAGGAGATGCAGGCCCAGGTTCATTTACAGCAAACAAGTCCTTAGTTCCTATAAATTTTAGGTACTATTGCATAACAATGCACTCAATTTGACTGCTTCAAAATAAAATTAAGAAAATCAAAAACCTATGGTTTTACAATAAGTCAAAACATTAAACATGTACCCTTGCAGTCTGAGCTATTTCTCTGAAGTTGCAAAAATACTTTAAATATATCCAAAGCAAGTAATATATGAAAGTAACATACCACAGAAGACCAGTTATATAATTTTATATAGTTCTTTAGTCCATTATCAGTGGTTCTCCCAAAAGAGACGGATCAGCATTACTTCCGGTAGAAATGTCAATTCTACAAAACTGTTCCATATATAATTCCATATATAAAGACACACCAACCTGCAGTTGGGGTGGTAACTACTGGGCTAGCCTGCTTCTCTGGTGCCACTATAACATCCAAGGGGTCCTGCTTAGGTGGAGCAGCTTTAGAAAAACATGCTATTTTATCATTTTGCTGGCTCAAGCTAGCATATTTAATGGTATAGCTAAATGATTTGCCTTAGGTGTTTGGTAAAATTTCATGCTGGACATAATGGACATAATACTAACAGGAATGATATGAAATATATACATACAATTAACAAATTCATGTGCTGGCATTTTAAACTTCCTAAGTTTTGAAAATTTTCTTTTTAAATATGGACACTTCTATTTGGAAACTATATGGATGATAATTCTGGCTAAATTCTAGTCATGTCTGATGGGAATTTCCTCTTCCATCAGAACCTTAACAACTGCCTCAATCCATAGATACAGCATTTAATACCACAGAAATACAAGTAGTTCTTCATCCACTGTTTGCCATATCAAGGTATACAATTAATTTTCCTTTGCTTCAGGTTTTTTATATCATTAATTTCTTTCATAAGTGCAAATATTTTCCAACAATCAACAGGTGAGGTGTACTATCAAACACTATCATACACAAACACATTTTTACATACATTCTACACACTAACTGCATCATTACAAATAAACCTAAACATTTGTTCCATCTTGATCATAACATAATGCGCACAGTAGACAAACTAAAACAAGAAACTTGAATGTACATCGACTTTTGTGCATCAACCCCACTGGTTAACATTAAGTGTACAAATAAATATAACACATAAGGTAAATGTATTAAACCATTATCATTCATTAATACACAATTCTTCCTGTCACCAAAGGAACATGGCTAAAATAAACACCTTTTAAGTTGAGTTAGTGTAAAGACAAGACAACACATGGTTTTACAAACATGTTAAATATTAATTAAGTGAAAAAAATTGAACAACTGCATTATAAATTAAACACATAAATTTCAACTTGGCAACTGGATGAAAGGACACCACAAATATTTGGATCTGTGATGTTGTTAGATTTGTCTAGATTTCTGCAGACAAGAGTGTTCATGTTAGCAAAAATTGTTTTTATAGATTTATAAAATTCATCAAAAGGAGCGTAGTTAGTTATTGTCTATAGAAAACTAACAAAATCTTAAATCAGATGTTCATCACTCCAGATGCCAATTTTAACAAATATCCCACAAATAACTTCTTTTCTTGACGTGTTATCTGATTGTTAATAAATTAGAAGATTCACACATTTTAAGAACTACAGTGTTTGCTGCCCTGAAAGTTGAAAACCAAAACCAATACATACTTAATAGGTAGATATACACACAATACTCACCAGGTGGGGGTGCAGACACTGCCCCCAACCCCCCCATGGGGATCATGCCACTGGAAGTGGTACCTGGACCAAATACATGCAAAGAGACACCATGACAGAGAGATGGAAGTGAGATGTTACATGCAATTGCAGTACTGCTATGGAATACTTTACTGCGGAAAATAAAAGAATGGAAGACCAGAGAATTTTCTGCATAAAAAATAAAATGTACAGACTATCTATGCTATTTATCATTTTAATGACTGCTTTTTGATATCTCTATATAACCTGTTTGCAAATCCTTTCCAATCTGTGGTCTTTGAAATATTTACAATCGACATTAATTTTACCATCTCCATTAGTTTTTGATATAGCAAAATGGTAGAAGTTTTTGCACCTTATACCTGGCTCTTGTGGGTCACTTAGTTGCCACGTTAAAAAGATAAATTATTAATAACAAACTGTAAATAATATTCAAAGCAAGATTTAACCTGTTCCTTGCAAATGGAATACATTAGGATTATCATGGAACCACAATCAGACTTAAATTGTATAAGAGGTTATCAGGTTAAATCCTGTCCCAGTTATAGCAGAAAGTGATTCTCAACTTTAAGAAATGCTACCATCCCATGAGGTTAAAATTTCTTTGGCTTTTCATTAATTTAGATAGGAATAGGAATTATTTCAAATTAATAGCAAGAATTCTTAAGCTTAAGCATGAACGTAAAAGAATCAAGGTAGCAAACCTCTCCAGTCTTCCATCTTAATTTTCACAAAGTTGGGTAAATATTTTAACATTTAACACTGAGTACACGAGCAAGCACTATTTCATTATCCATATACTAATTTAGTAGGTGAGAGTGGTGCAGTTTTAGTGATCAAAGGAATAGCTTTGGTGCACTTATCAAGTAAAACTAAACCCTTCAACCTTAATAAAAATATTTCCAGTCAGATAAAAATGCACCCCAACACCAATTAGTTTTTTTTTACAAGAATACAAAGCCATTCTTTTTTATTAGCTATTAGTAACTGAAGTAAAGACATGAACAAAGGTTAAGTTATTAAGATGAGCATAGAATATACATGTAGATGGCTGCGCCTGTGTAGATCAGCAGACAAGAACAGTACCTGACTGGGGGCCACTTGCGGAATTTCCAAATGCTGCAGCAAAACCAGCATCTGATGCAAATGCATTGTTTGATGCTGGAGGCTGATTATAACCTGAAACAGAACCAGCCCATGTCCAATATTACAAAAGCTTATCTATTTCCAAAACCAAAGTCCACATAATACTGTGATGCACAGAGCTTACATTATAAGAGGACAGTGTTTCTAGTTGGCTGATTATGTTACTGTGCCAATCAATCTGCACAACTCCTAATAATTCTCCTATATTCTTCTTTTGTCCTTATAATCAAAGTCTTTATAAGTGGGGGTAATATGTATCTGAACATATTCAAATTGAAGCCCTGCTGAATTTAATATAAGAATGTTATCATTCCTATAAGACAATGTTTAATGCCATATCTTACTTGAAATCAATGGAAATGAGAAAGGACATTAATACTAATGCCTGACTAACAAAGTATCTGACAAACTTTCAAAATATTACATAAGGTCAGCAGTATAGACTACTAACCTGCACCCCATGGGTTGGTCTGCGGAGAGCCAAAAGCATTGTGCTGAGGGGACGACATTGCCATTGCATTTTGAACAGTAGCTGCAAATGGGTTTCCACTTAATTCTAGTAAATCATCACTGGGTCGCTGGCCGTTTGCACTTCCTGCAGGCTCTGACCCAAACAGATCTGCGGATGTTGTGGTTGTCGTGTGAGCTGTGGATGCAGCAGGTGGGGAACTAAATAGATTGCTCGCAGAGTTGGAGGATGGCCGTGCTGGGGAAGCTTTGGAGGCAGCAGCTTGTTCTCTTAATTTCTGTTCCTGGGAAGAGAAAAGGATAAAATAGTGTTAATCTACAAATTGACCAAAATTTCTATTAAATCCTAAGTGTAACAGATAGCACAGCTTTACTTTGTAGTACAACTATTCTACATAATTGTCAGTACACATTTTTCTTATACTTCACCATATCCCTTTGTATTTTCTGTATTTTATAAAAATCTCAATAGCAGATGTAGGAAAGAAAGGAACAGGCCACACAGAGTAATGCAAATCCATCTCTTTTTGGTTTAACACTAACAAATTACATAATTCATTTCTTTTGAAGTAGGTGGTTAATAAATGTATGATGTCTAAACTAGCAAAAGCTTGGAAGCATGGGCAACTATTAGAAAACACACAGCCGACATATAATTTAAGAACAACTTTTACAAAATGTGCCAAGTATCAAAATCAAAACTGCATTAATGAACAATTGGAAGGAATTTTTCAGAAAAAATGCTAGACATTAACAATGAGCAAATCACAAATGATCACACAGCAACTATCAACAATTTATTTAAAAAAAAAAAGACAAAATGGGGAAAGAAAAATTAGCATAGTAAACCAAAGCAAGCCCAACAGTAATGAGAAAACAAAGCTTGAAGAGCACGCTTTATTGATCTACCTGTTCCTTAGCCTTGGAGACCTAAAAATGACAAGGGCATGTGTTACTGCAAATATTGCAAGCTAGTCATAGATCCAGAGTCCCATGAGTTGTTCTAAATCTTACTAGGTAATCAAAAACAGAAGTATTTGTGATAGTTTGAACTTTTCTAAATTATTCTAAAAGATGAATATCCTTCAAGAGGGATAGGAAATTGTATTTCATATACATTGCCAAACTAAGTATGATTTTTTCTCAATTAAAAAATAAAAGACGAAAAAATTCACTCTGAATCTATAATATAGCTATGTTTACTGAGGCAAAATTTTTGACCATCATTTCAAAAAGTTAAACATCTATAGCAACACAGCTGCATAGCATCAATGTTGTCGAGGTTCGATTCTGCTGTACCAAGCATTTTCTATATAAATCTTTTCATGCAGTTATTTGTTTGCTGCACATTTAATTGCATTTTAGTTGGATATTTGATTAATACTGTAGCTTAACAAGCATGGGAAACATACCATGCAACAACGAAAATAATTAAAAAAAAAACATAAAATGCACCTTCAGTTGTTGCAATCGAGCATTTTCTTCATCCAATATTCTCTTTTTCTCATCTTCACTAATGCTTCCTCCACTGACACTGCCTCCTGCCACTTGCTGTGAATTGTTAGATAATGTGTTGATGGCTGATGTTATGCTGCCAGGCCTGGAAGAAAACCAGTATCAAAATTACAACTTCTGGTACCGTTATTATGGCATATTTCATAAATGGCTATACAGAGAACAGCTCTACATAATTCTACTCAATGATGAGATTGGTCGTTTTATTTTATTATATTTTCTAATTATGCTTTAAAATAGATCTTTAAGGACTATAGGTAGCAATACTTTTTATCCAAGTCACCTTTATAAAAGTACATGAATAACATGATAACAAAGGGATAAGGATGCCATTTACTGAAAAAGTAAAAAAAATATGGGGTCCAGGGGGCTGCCTAGGCCAATGATGTTTTAAAATCCCAAAAAGTCAGAAATCTGCAAATGGTCAGAAAAATCTCATTCTTGTTAAGTTTCTTGAATCAAATATACATTAAAAGAGATTAAATAACAATACTGCACATATCACAGTGGATCAGTCTTTCAAAATACAATGGAGTTAACCAAATTCAAAACGTGTAATGCCGTTACTCAATTGTAAGTATTTTACAACACATCTGAATAACAAGTCACTTTACCTTGCGACTGTTGTTGGTGGAGCTGCTCCTTTTTTACCCTCCAAAGACGCCAAGTGTTGCTCTAATGCATCAAGCAAACTGGAAGGAGCCTAAACAGGAAAAAAATATATATATCAAGGTTATGTCCACACAGACAAATCAAAAGTGCCTATACATAAGCATGAAAATGTCTTTGACAAAAAAAAAAACTGATGCTACTATCTGTAAAATAAAATTTTACATGTATACTTAATATTATGATAATCTCCATTTATGGTGTGCTTCTAACAGCTGGGACAGACACCCCACCTTTTTTTATTTTGGTGAATCTAGAAACTTATCGCAAACGTGAACTGTTGTAGTTAAGATGGTTACATGCTTTATTGAAATTTATTAAGTTGCTAAAAAGTATTATATATACTACTTTAAAGAGTGGTTACAGTAGCAGGTTATAATTATGAGAAAAGTCTTATAAAACCATGCACAGCATTATATCTTTTCAGCATTAATCCTCATATCAAACAATTGCTGAGTCACTATGAGACAGATCTATTGCAACAGATAAGAAAAGAATGCTTTCCACAAAGGTTTGCACAGGTTGGTGTTCTATTTTGCCTTCTTGTATAATAAACTTTTTCTTAACTGTTTCTCAAATCTCATTCAGTATTAGTATAAATATAAATTCAGTTGTTTAAACTTAAGTGATCACAACCACCTCTCGACATCAATATATCTTGTCATTTACAGCAATCATTCAAATGATTACCACAGATGTGAACAAACAAGCAGAAGGAAAATTAAGCATGAAATTCTACACACACCCCTTGTGCACATGATTTGATTCTAATCATTTTGATACTATCAATTTAATGTTATCACTGCTCATGACACATTTTATCATCGATCTAAATAACTCTAAATAACAATGATAATCATTAAAAGATAAAAATGCCACATAAGCACCAGGTAAGTGGATTATTTCTGAAATGGTTGTGCTTTCATTTGGATACATCACTCATGATTTTATTGTATTCTATCTAAAAAAAAAAAAAAAAAAAAAAAAAAAAAAACTGCTCATTTGAAACCAGTGTTCTAATAAATTGTCCGTAACTACAAAGGAAAACAAAAGCTTTTTCAATGAATCTTAGTTATTGTAATACCTGCTTAATTTGAAATCAAATTTTCTGCCAATGATCCAGATTACATAATGGCAGAAATGCTTTGATAAGTAATGTCTAAAACTGGCACCAGGAAAAAGTTATAACTGTGAATGCCGGAAAAGGTTAGAATAACCAAAATTACAGGATGTTGTTGAATTCTGTATTTTGTGTTATCTCATAATTCTAAAATATTGTCTTATGTACACGGGGGCAGTGTTTGAATTAAAGCCAATACCACCTACAGGGAATGAAATACTTGGCAAAAGAGACTTACACTTTGGTACTGGGCATTGTTCTTCAGATTCTGACAAGGAAATAAAGGGGCTTCAAAACTGCAGCAACCAAAAACAAACTCTTTTAATCAAAGGAAAAGAGATGCAAATAAATCAAAATCAAGTACCACCATTTTGACATTGAGTAATATTCAAATCTATTTTTTCTGGGTATCAAAAATTTCACAAACAAGGTTTCGCTTTCTTGTCTGCTTGGTTATCAAGCAATTATGTTTTCTGAACTCACCTTGGCTAAATCTGGAATGTCACCTTTGTCAATCCCTACTTGCTGGAATTAAATCACAAGCAATGAAATTTTTATATAATCATATTCAAAAATAATTGATTCAAATAAAAAAATGTCCAAATATTCATTCTTGCTACACACATTTTCAAAATAAAATGATTATCTCTTCTAGCAAAACTTTTATAGTGGCCTTCATTTCAGGCACTTAGGTAAAGGCAATAAATCGAACATTAAGTAGCAAAGTAGCATTTGTTGAACAGCAGTATTAAGAAACTCAAAAAGCTTACCTCAGCTACTTTGAGAAATTCTGAGACTTTGTCCATCCTGACTAAAAACTTCTTGTAAATATCCAGACCATCTTTACATTGCTTCTTATTCATTTCAAAATATTTTTCTGGAAATGTATATCACCAATAGGTAATAGAAATAATTCCATTTACTATCAAGCATTAATCTTTGTATTTCTTTATATATATATATAAAGTATTAAATGCTAAGTAAACATTTTATGTAATGCTGCAGCCTTCTACAGAGTCGCCCCTGAAATTTTCTAATATTTTTGAATGGAATTATGCATTTCTTTACAAAAGCAAATGAGACATCTTACTTACCTAATAAATTTATGATCCCATCATTATAACATGCAAATAACCTGATCAAGTCTTTGAACAACATCATAAAGCAGGCATTGATTACTCCATTGGTGAGTTCATTAGCTGTACACTGGAAAGGAAACATACTGACATATTTAACAATACAACCACCTTCATGAGATGGGAAAGCACACTGTGATCCTGATAAAACAGAAATGACATGAAATCGTCTGGGGTGTGTTTCACTACAAAAAGCAGGAACCGGATATAGCTCATTTAGTTATTCTCATTTAATATTCATGTTACCGGGTCACTACATCATCAATGGATTTCCTTACACCTTGTTGTTTTATGAAAAGTGCATTTCAGGTATTAAAATCCCAAATTGAACTACATGTATAGTTCACGTGTATGGGAGATAATACTTTGTACTGAAGTTGAAAATGGACACGACAGTAACTCACAACAACCCGCTTTCTTCACCCATCAAAATTTGCGGCGAAGAGCAATTTTTGTTTTTCTCTTGTGTGTGCTGAAATGATCCCTGCGATGACAAAAAAAAAAAAAAAAAAAAAAAAAAAAAAATTTNAAAAGTAGTGTTAACCTCGGGATAAATCAGGATAAATCAATTTTGGCGCGAAAATCCTCTTTTGTGTCCTTTTAAATAGAAGAAAGAAAAATATTATGATGGTAGTGGCTTATTGAACCAAAATATCGGGTATCAACTAAAACAAATCAAAAATTAACTTAATAATTCAAACTATGAGTGATTAACCAAAATGAAAATAACTAAAAAATCTATCTCTATTAAAAAAAAAAAAATTCTGAGAGCTTTCTTTTCCATAATGTACAGCTGCAAAACAGACTGGTATGTCTGTGTCCAACATTTAAGTGCTGTTTGAGTGTCATTTTTGGCTAAGAATTAAAAAGTTTAAAATACACAGCAATGTTTGGAAACACAAAATTGTTTGTTATAATGAGACAAATTAATCTCCGTTCACATGAAAGCACCCCCATTGTAAGCCAACACATAGGAATATTTTGACAGACTTTCATAGATGATAACCTATTGTTGTTAATTACCTTGTTTATCAAAATATGTACATGCACTTCCACATTATCCTCCTAATGTGGAAGTGCATGTACATATTTTCATAAATATATTACTATGAGGGAGTAGGATTGGCCAGCAGTATTTACCCATCTAAATTATACATTTTGTAATTTGGGAGAGGTTAACCTACAGGGCCTTATGTACATTTTACTCCTGATATATGCTAATTTATATGTTCTGTATATGTGCTTACTTATTTTCCAATAATTTCATTAGTACTTTAATTTGTTTATCTAATCAATCTTCCTTTCTGTCTCTTTGATTTCTATTATCTGTTTACTTAATGCGTTAGTGTTGTACACACATACATATTTTTATAAAAAATAATTGCAAACCATTTTTGCATTTCTCTTTTCTTCTCTTATGAGTGAACACTGACCAGGGAACCAGTAAATGATCATTTGTGGGTGATTTGATAAATGGAGATGTAACTTTTCTCAAAATAATTACTTATACTTACATCAAATTCCAATAAAGCATCTAGCTGATTCTGTAAAGCTGGAAGGGTCTTCAGCAACTAAATGTGTAATAACAAATAATTTAAAATCATAAATATGTTGAGGATCAGAAACATTAATGACCTCATACATAATACTCCTTACTTAAACATAAGCCTATTATTCAAACATACAGATTGTTAATAATTTTAGACAGGTTTTTATGCAAACAGTTGTGATGACATTCATTCCATTTTTATGTTTGTTTGCCAATATTTTAGTTTGCCTGGCATAACTTCATATTATATGAAGTGGTGAACTGAAGAAGATCAAGGACATACTAAAAGGATTCCATACCTTATCTCCATGCATTGTTCTCAGCATACCATCATCTTTTCTGCAATTAAAATATGTAGGTTAACTTCAATTTAACAAATAGTATTAAATAAGTATGAAACAATCAATGGAGTGGAATTGCAATGGTTTTAGGACAATGCCCATAAAAGGTCTGCTTAAAATGCTCATCATTCTGATGTAACCGACAGTTAGAGAGCCTTTTGTCAAAAAGTACCCTGAGTAAAGATATACTTAATTTGCATTAACCAAAGATTTGTGGTGTCATAAGACTGGACTTGTTAGTAACCAGTTAATGCTGTGTTGAAGTCTATGGTAGCAACACAGCCTGTATAGGCAAGTCCCCTCTAGTGGAATAAGGGAACTTATGTGTGAAGATGCCATTTTGATTTTTTTTACTATTAGCAGTGACATCATGTTTTAATACTGAAAATCAATGTGGTACCTCACATGTTATTTCAAGATAAACTTGTTATATATTCATTTGCAGACAAATGTTTATAGCACTAGGAAGTGATCAGAATACACAGCATTGCAGCAACTGATACACTAACAGGCCAGGGTTGGCAAATCTCAAACTTATTTAGATTTATTCAATTGACACCTCACAGTCCCCAAAGTCACCTCAGTACATTTAACCATTTCTAAATCTCCAACTGTTGTAATAATAGATAATTCTGAGACTCAAAAAGCATCATATATATTTAATCAATACTCCCAATTTTGAACGATGTTGGATCAATGAAGTACAATGTTGGTAAACTAATCCAAATGTTTTAACAATAGTCCCAGTCAAATGCAAAGGACTACTCATGTAATCTAGGTCAGCAGAAATCCCACTGAAGCTAAAGCATAAATCTGTCTGGTTTATTTTTTCTAAATGTTATAAATATTGGGAAAATCATTATATTTAAAGATGCATTTCAAGTGAGCTGACAAGTCAAATCATTGCCACTAAACTCCACCAAACGCTGCCATACAGTTTCAAGCAGCATATTACTTAAAGAAATACCAAAGGCATCTTTCAGATTTCCCCAAAAAAACGATATTTGTGCAGATATTTTCTGCTTTCTTTCTGTGCTATCTATAACCCTAGTCATTTGAATAATTATGCGTTTGTATGCACAGCAGTAATGCATCATTCATTACTAGGTCATTTGGTGGACTTTTCATTACTGAAGGGATGGATAAATAGGTCAAATTTAGAACCCAAAATGTGAAGAAGGTGCAGTTTGAAGCTTTTTTTTTTTTTTTTTATGAAGACTTAGTTGCATAAGAAACTAGTAGTAGTGATTTATATGCACTGCATGGAATCTACACTTGTTCATATGTATCTAAAGTCATCTTTTCCATATCTTTCAGAAATGGCAAATTTTAGAGCAAATTCATATTTAATTAAAGGAATGATCTTTTCTAAGTTAATAAAATAAATACAATAAACCTTCCACTGGATTATTTTCCCAGGATTTTTTAAAAATATAATTCCACGTTTTGTATGTACATTATTCATAGAAAGAATCCCAGTTGGTCAGTAGATAGGGTAGATAATGCTTCAACTAAAACAATATGCTGACATTAATAACATTTCAAGATGAGAGACTAGTTTTATGTTGGATTAAGATCACTTTTTCATCCCAAATGTCCTGATTTTTTTCCTCATTAGATGAGCTTAATGGTAGGCTTACAGAAATAAATTTGGGCAAATGTCAGAGTTGTGTTCAGGAACATTTTTATTCAGGTTTGGGTAAAACAGGTTAGCATTTGAATTTTATATCAAATATATGTTATTTCTGGGCAATTGTCAAGTATGTCCTAGCACAGGAACAAAATGTTGTGCCTCCATGTGAAACCAGACAACTCTGGTGTTTTTAGCCTCCAAATTCTAAAAAATATCAATTAAGCTCATAAATTGGACAAGCATAAGAACTTTTTACATCGTAAATTTTATATTTATTATTTATTATGAAGATTACAACAATAATTGTGTTGACTTTTGATGTATGCCATGCTATGATCTTTATTAAAAGATATCCATTTTTACGAGATTCCAAATTGTATCGTGGTGTTTGGTTCCATTGTCTCGCTTTCAAAAAATTAGAACTGGCGCTCCAAACAAGGAAGACAAAGTCAAAAATTTTATATTGCCAGAGTTCGTTCTCGCATAAGAATATCCTCGCAGCATTATCTGCAATTAACCTTCATACGACTTGAAATGCATTTTGCAATGTCATTTTCGATCTGCCACATGGAGCATTTTATTTATCAAGAGTGGGGGAGGGTGGAAAATCCCCTTTGGGGCCCCATATAACAATATCAATACAGTGGGAATCCCCTTGTAATGAAGGCAAAATAAATGTTATTCTAAGGAAAGTCCAATGAATTTACTTTTTTAAACATAAAATCAATAGAACATTTCTTGTATGGATTCTTATAATGACACCAAAGAGCAAATTAAATAAAATCAACCAGACGGTAAACACTGGCAGGTTTTGTCAATTTTACCAACTTGTTTATATTTCAAACAGTGCACTTTTAGCGCATATGCAGTCGTTTAAATCCTGTCCTGTATGGCCTGACTTAACAAACTGTAATCATACCTTATATATTGATAATATGTTGTAAATTTATGGTTACATGAGATTGTTACATTCAGAGTTTTGACTTCAAAATATTTGCTTCAACTAGCTTTGTCTTGTTTGAAATACAGTGGGATCTTTTTATAGATGTCCCTCTGTTCAGTGATACATTGCAGCACTTACTGATATCAAAGCACTTGAAAATGGATCTGGCTGTTTGGTGACGACTTTTAGTCCCAAACCTATTTAGTCCAGTTCTGCATCTAAATATACCTCTTAGATTCTTTCGGTGAAAAGACCAGTAAAAGCAATGAAAACCATCTGAATGTTCTCATTAAATTATATGCATCACTGTGCAGGCTACGATGGAGTAATCAACAAGAAAATAGATAGCATAATCAATGAAGTGGTGCACATCAAGTTTGCATTAAAACATTAACACAAATGCAGTAATCATTTTTGTCTTGTATTAAGTTGTAATTCCCAATGGATTAAAACGATCTTTTGAACATCATGTATTCTTTTATCTTTCAATAAACAAAAATAAATATTTAAAAAGTAAAATAAAATAAGCCTTTTTTCCCCATTAAACCCCAAACAATCCCAAGATGCAGTATCACATCTCTTCTGGATTTAATGTCATCACTGATTCTAAATTCAATTGGAAACCACCATATAACTTACTTTAACCAAAGGGGCTTTACATGGTATTTGAGATGTATGCATCACAATCTATTGATTTTCAAAGTCTGGCGTCCTTCTCTCAGCTGAGAAGATGCTATATTGTAATGTGCTGATACACTGCCTAAGAGGATAGCTTACATGATAGGAAAAATGATGAACATAAACTTCAAAGTCTTTGTGTTAGCCCCCAAAACAGGTCTATTTAAAATCTTCTTGCCTTCTGTCTTTTCAAAAATACCCCTTTACTTAAAACACAGCTTTTGTTAATGTTGTAAGGTAACTAGGTCTGTAGGTTCTGGAAGACCGCCTGGAGAAAAAGCCTTAAAAACTAAGTTTATAAGAAGATGGCCTATATTTATGTAACCACTGGGGACAAAACTCGGTTTATTACACCTGCCATTAAGGACACAGTCTTATATGCATTTAAGCACCCTGACAATCATTCAGCATTACCAGAAGATTCCCTATGTTACATTGCCTTATGATGATACTACTGGAAACTGAAATGTGAGTAAATCCCAAGAAAGATGCATCATCCAACATTTGAACAGCACCAATAAATCACTTCCAAGAAGATGAAACTACTAAGGCTAGAATTGATTTTTACTCTGCAAATTATTCCAGCTCCCCAGATGATACTGTATCCTCACACAGGAAAAATAGCTTTATTCCTAAGCTATAAAGAAAGAGGTTTCTATTTAACAAATTCTGCCTTGAAACCATACTTTACAAATCAAATGATGGGTAATTCTTAATCTACTAATATATCAAATTCAACTGATTTTAATTTCATATATGTTTATTATCACTGCAGGTGTGGAATTATAATAACTGAAAAATAAAAAAGCAACCATATTGCCAATATTTGGCCAATATGACAGTGTCTGATAGTGCTTTCCCTAGCAGTCATGTTTAATGGTCATATCCCAGGGATAAACAGCTTTTCAGATTTCCTGAGCTAAGTGGATCAACTGGAACACACTTTCTATGCATAATTCATAAGTGATGGCTATGTGTGGAATATATGCTTTTTCCAAACATGCACCAAATTTTTGTGCTCATTCTGATTGAATTGATGTTTTCTAAGAAATGATGCAAAGTGAGCAAAATAATGCAACTCAATTTTCCAGAATCTGGTATGAATACTTTTTAACACACTAACAGGAACTGGAAAGTACTTCACCATTGATCTGCTGCCCATTGACCTAATGCTCAACCTTTTTAACACAAGAAATCCTGCCCAAATCCCCATACAACAATATTGGATTTTTCACAGTAAGCGTCCTTCCTATTACTCTGACAAATAGATTTACAAGATCATTATTTTTGGTGCAAGAACATAGTAGAAAACAAAGACGTTTTTTAGCACACTAAAATTTCCTGAATTTTTATTAATAGGACAGTAATTCAAGTAGTGAATTTTTACCAACCCTCTTTTGACTTTGCAGAAATCATATGCCATCAGTCTGTAGGACACCGCCTTTTCATTGAGGTATTTGGAATATCTACGGATGAATGTGGACATGTCATAACCTGCAATAAGTACAATTTCATAATATATTAACACATCATCATCTTATGAGCATTGAAAAAGGTTTTGTTATATGTCTTTTTAACAATTTATCAGTAGTCCACTTAAGGTCAATGGGGCTGGTTTGCAATAAGCACCAGATGGCTAGTACTTGAAAATTATATACCATAGATATATATAGATTAAGGTTAGGCAAAATGTTGTCTTAGATACCAACTTTCGATTTCAGTTACCTTTGAGTCCAGGCATTACAGCATTCTATACTTACCTTGGACTCCATTTTTATCTAGGAACCCACTCAAATTAAAGGAACAATTGTTGGATGCTAGATACTGTGTAAAACGCTGAAATGAGAGAAAAATTAAATTAACTATTAAAGTTCAGGAATTTTTTTACATATAAACAACCATTATGATCCTTATGAAAATCTATAAGTTTTATCTTTTTATTAACAATCTACAAAAACATTTTGGATCAAAAATCCTTAAGATTGTGGCTACTATCATCAGACTTGTGAAATTTCTAACAAAACTTTAACAATATATTGATAACAATTCCATATATGATGGAGAATGCTTTTCTTTTCCACAGAGGACCAAGACATCAGCTGGTAAGATACATTTTATGTTTCTAAATCAGTAATCATATTATATTATAATCATTTTTGTATAAAATGCTGGGCAACTAAACAGAATCTGTGTAAGGGAATTCAAGCATACTTTCACGTTTTCCATTCCAACCCAATGTGCTAATTAAATTTTCCAGCCATTTCTGGTTGAAGGCACTCAGTCAGACCTAGTTTAGTTCTTGTTTTTATGTTTTAACAATCAACAAAGCTGCAGGTCTTCTTTTATATGTAAACATGATATTTCTTTCAGAGAGTTTCTAAAAGAGCTGGAATATTTATGTTGTAGAAAGCCAGTGATTACAAACTATAATAGCTATGATTGCTGCTAGAGATTTACACTAAGAAACTGAATGCGACTGTGCATTGTAATTACTAAAAACTTCAAACACCAAGTTATATTCCAACATTTTATTTTTCAAGATTTCTACATGTAATATACTTACAATAAAACTATTTGACTTAAAATATATTCCTTGACCGTAAACTTTAATGTAATGTTCAAGGAAATGAAAAATATAGTGTTTTGTGAAATATTCTTAAATTTATATTGTTCAAAATCAATGAGTTTTTACCATAGTGTACACAACTGTGAGGCTCTGTTTCAAAAAGGTACTCTCAAGGCAACTGGAAAGCACTTAGAGACAAATGTGCATAATATTAAAAACAGCTGTAATTCTTAGAGCCATGATGGATTTCTGAGAACATGTTAAAAAATCACTTAAAAAACAACCTTTTTCACCAGTGCATTTTAAAAAAAAAAACTCTATTAATGGAAATTGCATTTCACAAAATCTATAATTTAGCATATAATAGATGAACAATTTTTTTCATACACAGACACTTTTTTTTCTTTTTTGAGGGGGGGGGGAGGGGATCCACCTTTTACATTTTCAACAAATTAGGCCCTATTCAGATCGAGAAGAGCCGAGTGCCAGCTAGGCCATGACCTAAATATGGCAGACCTACATGAAGGAAGACCACTTAATCATGTAATGGTCTCTCCACCTTCCCCCCCCCTGCAGGGGCACAGTAATTAAATCTCGGCTCAATTCAACCGGTCGAGGGACGATGCGTGGGGAGGCGTCTGAGAGGCAGAGAGACCATTACAGGATTAAGCAGTCTTCCTTTCATGTAGGTCTGCCATATTTAGGTCACGGCCTAGCTAGCACTCAGCTCTTCTCGATCTGAATCGGACCTTAGAGGGACAGTTTGTCAATTTACTTCTCCACAGTTTCAATATCCTTTTTTAAATTATTTGTATTTTTCAAACATGCCCTTCAAAATAAGAGTCCAACCTGCTCTGAGAAATTCACTAGAGAAGGCTTTTACTTGGAAAAAGAGAGGCTGAATGGTAGGTCCACAGCATGTGGTGAAGGAGTGAAAGTTTTACTGTTCTTTCAGTAAAGTAAATCAGATATATTCTGGATCAGCAGAAATGAGATATGCAAATGGTTTTCAAACTACACTGACCTCTACTAGTAAGATTTTCTACATAAAAAGGCTGGCACTGATAATGATGATGATGATTATGATAAAAATCATGATAATTAAAGTGAAGATAACAATCTGTCATGTTGACAGTGATGTTGAAGATAATGCTGGAGATGACACCCACCTCATTTCCATAGTTCATCAGACTGTGTGTTGTAATAAGGGCTTTGAACACAACCACCCAGTTCTGACTCTGGGTCCTCTGAATAAGTATATCTGCCAGCTGAGGGATGGACACATTGGGTTCATTGGTGCACTGGAGTAAGTCTGAAATACATTATGATCACAACTTTATCATTCATAGCTTAAATAAGCCTTAAAATGTGGAGATTAAGAGACCATTCCCAGAGCCTTCCTTGGAGTCTAACAAAGTTTTCTTCAGGATTTTATTTTTATTTATTTTTTGTATCGTACAAATTTTGTTTGATTTCAAGTATGATGATATATCATCATACTTGAAATCAAAAATTAAAAAAATCTAATTATGACTCTACCATGCAAATGACAAAAGCAAAATAAATCAAGTTTCTCCCATGAGAGGCTCTAAGCATCAGACCCCACAGAAAAAATATGATAAGCAAGATAACTGAATTCCACCCAAATATCACTTGGTGCTACAACATATTTCCAGGGCTGGCTACTGGCACAATTCCATTCATCTAGCATACACAAACTCTTTTCACCAAATAAAAAAAAATGTTAAGTCATACACATACTGTGCAATGTTTTAAGTAACAGCACTTTTTCCAGAAAACAGGTCTTTCGTTTTTCTACCAATGGGTTGCAGATTCTGCAAGTGCATAGCCAGGAATTTATCAGAATTAATTTTGGCAGGAAACATGGAGGCATGCAGTTGTCATGCAGACATCATCATAACCACACATGTGCCTAATTTTAGGATACTTTTCTGCTTCAACTCCTTAACACACCAAAAACCAAACTGCAAATTACATGAACCAGACACCTACAATCTCTATTGATAAGTAACATCTCAAAGCTGGAATCAAATTTATCTTCAAATTTCAAGGTTTGCTCTCTCAAACTTGCGTACCTTGACTCTTTTGCTGCAGCAAACTGTGAAAACCACATCTTTATTTTCCAATTTGGCAGTGAAGGTTCAAGAACATTTTAAGGTCATTAACTATGTTTTGTTAACAATTTGAGCTTGGTCCCACCTGTGACTAAAGGGGAGGAGGGCCGTGCCAGGTGACTGTATGAACTGTTCTGACTTAATGGTGGCCATAGAAAGCAGGGAGAAAAAGGCATAAACAGAACTGGAAATATAATAGTCCGCAGGGCTACAATTTTTGACAGATCTGTTTCTAAATTTGATATGCCTGTCAGGGTGCATGCTGGAAGATAAGGACATTGGCTAAAGTGTGTTATGAGTGTATACCCAATGTTGTCAAACCACTTGTCTCTGCCCTTACCACTTCACTCATTATATCTAAAAGATAACATTGGTCACTTAAACTATAATGAAGGGCATCATTCATCTGGCATACCAAGATCTCTGCCCATGTGTACATTATAACCAAGATATTTAGATAATTATCATATCAAAAGGATTTAGTAAATTCTAATATGGGTTGTCTAACCAACAGTCATTCAAAACGATGTCTTTTATACTTAATAATTAAAAAAACAATGATACTTACTCTCAAATCTTATCTTATATTGCAGAATTTGAATTTCTATTATTATTGTGCATTAAGTGTGAAAAGCAAACAACTAACAGACTAATGAATACTTTGAGGTTGGGTAAATATGCATGTTTTTCTAACCCCTGTATTTTAACTCATTGAATACAATTTCCACTCACATATATATATAAATGGCAGTATCATACTACTTACCTATTTCACCAGTTGTCTAGACAAATGAATTAAGATTAAGAGAAGATCCTAGAACAAGGAAAAGATGGTCTGACAAAGAGGATCCAGCAATATATGGTGTCAAAGCACCACCCAACATATTTCAACGCCACTCTTAAACATTAAATATCAAAAAATTCTTTTTTAAACATTTTTCATCCACCATTATGATGCCTCTCACTCCCTAAAATATTTTTTTTAACATGGAAAACTATCAAAAGTAAAAATCTGATTTTGTGGGAATCATATATATCATTTATAATTTCTTTTTTATATTTATTAAACCTCCCAAACATACCCTACTGAACACATGGCAAGTGTTCTTATTTCAACATTCCTGTTATTTAACCTTGTCAAATCAGTATCTATAGATTCCATAGTCCCAACCGTATGAAAACGATATACTGGCAAAAAAGTACTTACAAAAATGGGACATTTATTGAAAAATATGGCAATAATCAAAACATAGAAAACACTCATTCTCTCCACTATCTAATAATATAAAAACCAAATTATATTGAAAAAGACACATAAGCTATATTTAACTAACACTGTCATTATTGTACGCTGCATATTACTGCTGAAACATGCAAAATTAGGAAGAACTTGTAGAATACAATGAATGAAAGATTTAAATACAAGTGCAATTTCAGGACTACACTCGTCATCATTATGCTGCACTAGTTACCTTGAATTTTGTGGTCAATTTCATTTTGCTGAGCACTTACTCATCTCAAGGCAGGACGTGCAAACTTGTGGTTTAGTTATTATGGTTTTCTGGCATGCAGCTCATGAAGAGTGACGCAACTACAACTCTATACATTCAATAAATAAAATGGCTTTTGTCCCAATGTTTATCATCTCCAATGATCCATTTACTATTATAGATTGTTGGCCATATTAACTAAACATGTATATATTAACTAAGCATTTTAATTTTTCCCATTTTCAAAATATATTTCTGTATGGAGATGGTCTTCTCTACCAAGACAAGTCAAGCAAATTAACTGGTGGATTATGTTAGCAGAAAGAGACTAGCATGGACAAAGACATTTTCAGACAGACAGTCATGTTAAGCCTTAGGTCATGAATCTCTCGTTTTATTTGGTGTATGCATGACAAAAGAAAAGTCATGGCAGAAAGAGGCATGACATAGCACTGAGCCCAGAATCTTCACGAGCAATTTCTAGACAAATAACACACAAGGAGTATGAAGTCCATTTTAGTGTCATCTAAATTCAGACCTTGAATCCTGTTGTCACATACACAGTGACATTGTCCATATCAATGACAATGCACAAATTAAGGGACTCAATCCTCCTAGCCTAAGACCTTGGACCTTTCGGGCTGTTCATACATGCACTGTGTTTATAACCACAACAATAACCAGCATGGAAACGTAATGCCTTCCATCTTTTTAGCATTCTTGTCACACCTATGAAATATGATACCTATTGTTACAATGATAGAGGAAGGTGTTTTCTATCAACGTAGATAAAAACATCCTATTGTCAAGTATAAAATCAATGTGAGACAGTCATCTAGTATGCTACATCTGCCTTATAATGTTTGACTCAACAATTATGCACAAGTATGTCTCAACAATGAGCAAGGCATGGCACACTTTTCCTATATATGGATATAGATCTAAAAATGAAAATATATATACATAAGGATATAAAACAAAAAATGAAAACAGATTTAAGAATTCCGGAAACCAGGATATCCGCAATGGAACACTATCTGACATTCTATACATTAGCATTATAGTTACCTAAGGACAAGGAAATTGTCAAATAAGACTTGTAACCACAAAAGGAAGCATGTAACTTCAGGAAAAAAATCACTTGTACATAAAATACCTAAGGGAAGCATCCTATAATGAATGATATCTTTCTAGCTTCCTAGATAGTCCAATTATTTCATTATAGAAGAATACAGGTGGTAAGTGACCTATCATACAACTTATCAATAATCTTAAACCAATAAAACCACTGATGCTACCTTAAAAAGAGTTCTAAATATCCATATACCATGCTTAATAAGGTCAAGCACCATTGCCATGACATAATTATCTACATTTTGTCTTATTCAGTATTGGGATTACTCAAAATTTCAAAAGTCTCACTTATTCCAATGTCTTTTTTTTTTTTCAAGGCACTTAATGTATACTTAATCATAAATTATTTTTTACGAGAAGCTTTGGGGATTATCAGAAACACCATTCACCTTTTTAAAATCAAAATAAATAGTGCTCTGGGAAATCTAGAATGCAGATTTCAATGGAATTTGATGAGTAACTACCTTAAAGTAAAATATGATTCTGGTAAGTAGTGTGCTATACTTTAAATGAAAATGACGCATGAACAAAATTGTCAACTTGGCGGCTTAACTTAAGTAACTTTTATCTAAAAAGGTATCGATGGGTACTACAGGAGTGGCTTCTACTGTCCCAAGGCTACGATTTTACATTGCGCATGAGACACTACTGACAAATCAACAAGCGGCTGCCTATGTGTGATTATGAATGGTTATGTTCCCTCTTGGTGTATGCCAAATTTCATTTTCATACAGTAATCCTCTACTGAGCAAGATGAGAAAAAGTGTTATTTCTTGTCCAAAATGGGTCCCCCAACGTTATAGTCTTTAAAGTTACAGGTGGTGGTATGTACATTTTTGCAACAGCATTTCTCTTGCAATAATTAAAATGTGTTTTGTTGTCAGTTTGTGCTTATATTTCAATTGTTGCAGACGATTGTTGGAAGTTGGGGAGTAACTTCAAATCGAAATGAAGTGAATGGCAGTATCGGTTACATAACAGAAAGATACAGTTTAACTAAAGTGGATTCATGACTAAAAGCTGCAATGTACAATTTGCACTTTTAGAAAAGCAGCAGAGTCTTATATGATGTTATATCGATGTTTTGGTCTCATGTTTTCACACCACTTGCATTTCTCCAACCATTCTACTCAATAAACTAAATTTGTCGACAAAAATCAATACAGTGTGCAAAGTGTCACTATTGACAGCAAACATAAAGGCCCTATTAAAGTAGAGCACTCCTGCCTAAGGAAAGACTGAAATGACATGACCACATTGTAAAAACTAAATTGTCGGTCAAACTTACAGTCCAAATGCTTCTTCTTTGGTCCAATGACTTCCTCTGTCGTCGCTTTGCAGATCGATTTGGCCAAGCCCTGTCCGACCACCGTGTGCTTTGCAGCAAGCACACGGTCTACTATGCTTTGTTTGGACATGATTTCCTCACCCCTGTCACTCAACAACTTTTATGGGAAAGCTCCAAGGGCCAAAATGACCCAGTTAACTTCACCTAAAAAATAAAGGGGTGGGTGCACCTGCGGTACAGTCTAAAGATGGCGGAGAATTGAAGATATGGCAGTCACGTGAACAAGGAGCACTTATAAACTGTAATCAAAACGAATTTGCTCTGGTAAAGAATGTTATTGAGCAGCCTAGATATTAAAAAACAAATAAATTGTGGAAAGTAGATGCGGGTGTCAAACAGGTATAGCTTTCTGGTCAGCCAGTAGTAATATATATCGTATGATAATCTTGCTTTAATTGCTGCTCCCCTCTCAGCCTCGGTTCAATGTTCCACTTCCGGGGCAACCATGGTTTGAAATCGACGAGATTGATTCAACAAAATTCAATAATATTCGACAGGATGACCATCATAATTAATAATCATATGATCGATTAATCCCAAGAATATAAAGATTATATAGGTGAGTAGACCGACAAACAAAGGACTTCATTTCCCAGCAATATCTCCATCATTTTTGTGTAAATCCAGTGAACCTGAACTTAGAAGTAGGTCAATAAAAGGTCACATAATGCAGGGATTTCAATATTGCAGTATTATTATGCTGCTTGCTCTGTAATGTAGTGATTAGGGTGTGTTAGGAGATTTATTTGTTTAGAGTGTAGAAATCATGTGATGCTTAGCAGTAAATTGTTTTGATATCCGCGTGAAACTTTGTTACATTTGCTTTGGCAAAACAAGACCAGTAGCACCAGCAGGTGGGTATCTTGTGTCTGCTATCACTGTATCAGTATCAAATTGTCAAACACTTCTGACCAGTCAGAGCTTGAGATGATGTCACATATGTTGATCCATATCATGAACTGTGAATAGCATTTCAAAATGAAAAGAAAACAAAAAGACAATAACATAAATGCTGCCATTCTTTGTTGTATATAATATCTGTTATACATTGCCATTAATCTCATTATTGTCATCCAAATGCTTGCTGTCAAAAAAACTAGATTTAAACATGCTTCTGCACACATGGGAAATGTACTGGAAATTGAATAAGGGCAGTTATATGTAATTATTAGCAGGTCTTTTATAAGCAATGGAAACTTGTCTGTACAAAAGTACTAGTACTAAATAGGTATAAGGATTGGCCTGTTATTAGCATGAAATTTCATGTGTTAATACTACTATTACAATGTCTGATATTCACTCTAAGTGCCAACACACAGTCTGAGGTTCCTATAACTATAATATGATGACCAGCTTGTGAATCTATTACCAACTGCATGTCAATGGCTCTAAAATCTTCTGCTTGCCTGTTACTTCTATAGAATGCTGGAGGTTGTTTACTTCCCAGAAAGATACTCATGAACAATCATTGTACCACCAGCGTTAGCGCTGGCGGTACACATGGTTTCGGTCTCGTCCGGATCGTTCCGCCGGCTCCGCCGGACGGCTACCGTTACCGCTTCTCCTCCTAGACGGTAAGGGCCCCCGTACCCANCGCTACCTTAAAAAGAGTTCTAAATATCCATGTACCATGCTTAATAAGGTCAAGCACCATTGCCATGACATAATCTACATTTTGTCTTATTCAGTATTGGGATTACTCAAAATTTCAAAAGTCCTACTTATTCCAATGTCTTTTTTTTTTCAAGGCACTTAATGTATACTTAATCATAAATTATTTTTTACGAGAAGCTTTGGGGATTATCAGAAACACCATTCACCTTTTTAAAATCAAAATAAATAGTGCTCTGGGAAATCTAGAATGCAGATTTCAATGGAATTTGATGAGTAACTACCTTAAAGTAAAATATGATTCTGGTAAGTAGTGTGCTATACTTTAAATGAGAATGACGCATGAACAAAATTGTCAACTTGGCGGCTTAACTTCAGTAACTTTTATCTAAAAAGGTATCGATGGGTACTACAGGAGTGGCTTCTACTGTCCCAAGGCTACGATTTTACATTGCGCATGAGACACTACTGACAAATCAACAAGCGGCTGCCTATGTGTGATTATAAATGGTTATGTTCCCTCTTGGTGTATGCCAAATTTCATTTTCATACAGTAATCCTCTACTGAGCAAGATGAGAAAAAGTGTTATTTCTTGTCCAAAATGGGTCCCCCAACGTTATAGTCTTTAAAGTTACAGGTGGTGGTATGTACATTTTTACAACAGGATTTCTCTAATAATTAAAATGTGTTTTGTTGTCAGTTTGTGCTTATATTTCAATTGTTGCAGACGATTGTTGGAAGTTGGGGAGTAACTTCAAATCGAAATGAAGTGAATGGCAGTATCGGTTACATAACAGAAAGATACAGTTTAACTTAAGTGGATTCATGACTAAAAGCTGCAATGTACAATTTGCACTTTTAGAAAAGCAGCAGAGTCTTATATGATGTTATATCGATGTTTTGGTCTCATGTTTTCACACCACTTGCATTTCTCCAACCATTCGACTCAATAAACTAAATTTGTCGACAAAAATCAATACAGTGTGCAAAGTGTCACTATTGACAGCAAACATAAAGGCCCTATTAAAGTAGAGCACTCCTGACTAAGGAAAGACTGAAATGACATGACCACATTGTAAAAACTAAATTGTCGGTCAAACTTACAGTCCAAATGCTTCTTCTTTGGTCCAATGACTTCCTCTGTCGTCGCTTTGCAGATCGATTTGGCCAAGCCCTGTCCGACCACCGTGTGCTTTGCAGCAAGCACACGGTCTACTATGCTTTGTTTGGACATGATTTCCTCACCCCTGTCACTCAACAACTTTTATGGGAAAGCTCCAAGGGCCAAAATGACCCAGTTAACTTCACCTAAAAAATAAAGGGGTGGGTGCACCTGCGGTACAGTCTAAAGATGGCGGAGAATTGAAGATATGGCAGTCACGTGAACAAGGAGCACTTATAAACTGTAATCAAAACGAATTTGCTCTGATAAAGAATGTTATTGAGCAGCCTAGATATTAAAAAACAAATAAATTGTGGAAAGTAGATGCGGGTGTCAAACAGGTATAGCTTTCTGGTCAGCCAGTAGTAATATATATCGTATGATAATCTTGCTTTAATTGCTGCTCCCCTCTCAGCCTCGGTTCAATGTTCCACTTCCGGGGCAACCATGGTTTGAAATCGACGAGATTGATTCAACAAAATTCAATAATATTCGACAGGATGACCATCATAATTAATAATCATATGATCGATTAATCCCAAGAATATAAAGATTATATAGGTGAGTAGACCGACAAACAAAGGACTTTATTTCCCAGCAATATCTCCATCATTTTTGTGTAAATCCAGTGAACCTGAACTTAGAAGTAGGTCAATAAAAGGTCACATAATGCAGGGATTTCAATATTGCAGTATTATTATGCTGCTTGCTCTGTAATGTAGTGATTAGGGTGTGTTAGGAGATTTATTTGTTTAGAGTGTAGAAATCATGTGATGCTTAGCAGTAAATTGTTTTGATATCCGCGTGAAACTTTGTTACATTTGCTTTGGCAAAACAAGACCAGTAGCACCAGCAGGTGGGTATCTTGTGTCTGCTATCACTGTATCAGTATCAAATTGTCAAACACTTCTGACCAGTCAGAGCTTGAGATGATGTCACATATGTTGATCCATATCATGAACTGTGAATAGCATTTCAAAATGAAAAGAAAACAAAAAGACAATAACATAAATGCTGCCATTCTTTGTTGTATATAATATCTGTTATACATTGCCATTAATCTCATTATTGTCATCCAAATGCTTGCTGTCAAAAAAACTAGATTTAAACATGCTTCTGCACACATGGGAAATGTACTAGAAATTGAATAAGGGCAGTTATATGTAATTATTAGCAGGTCTTTTATAAGCAATGGAAACTTGTCTGTACAAAAGTACTAGTACTAGTACTAAATAGGTATAAGGATTGGCCTGTTATTAGCATGAAATTTCATGTGTTAATACTACTATTACAATGTCTGATATTCACTCTAAGTGCCAACACACAGTCTGAGGTTCCTATAACTATAATATGATGACCAGCTTGTGAATCTATTACCAACTGCATGTCAATGGCTCTAAAATCTTCTGCTTGCCTGTTACTTCTATAGAATGCTGGAGGTTGTTTACTTCCCAGAAAGATACTCATGAACAATCATTATGTGTGATTCTGCATGATAGTTTGCAGACATGCTGAAAACTTTTCAGAATGGCCGGACATTTGGACCTGCAGTAATGAAAAATTTACCGGACTGAATGGTTGTTTGTCGGACCGAAAATCACCCTATTCGTTTGAGACAGATACTACCAGTAAGGTAGCTTACTTTGTTTGTGAATGTAATAGGTTTGAAATATAGGGAAAAACGCTTTGGGGTTTATATAATTTTATTAGTGAAGTATGTCGAAGGATGACTATAAATTCAAAATTGCTGTTCTTAAAACTCTTGTCTTTGGACCGACCAAGTCCAATTTTCTATTGGTCCAGACAAATTTTCCCGGTCATGACAGTTTCAGCATGTCTGAGTTTGCTTTCTGTTGGGGTCCAAATATAAGATCATTATTTGACCCACTTCATGGATTCGTTAGCGGTCTTTAATGACTGGTAGATGAGCAGATGAATCATACTTTGTTCAAAGCACTGACAATGGTAAGACCCATTGACTTTTCTTAAGTGTGTTGATTGAGGAGGTTAGAGGCAAGCAAAAGATTTGAGAGACCCCACATCATTGTGAAGGCATTAGCTAGCTTTTGAGTTATGTGTACCTCTATATTTCATATGTTTGCACAAATAGTGCATATCAGAGATTATAAATAGGAGTGCTAATGCATGAAACTTTGTGCTACCCTGTGAAGGGCATTTTCTGGATTAAAAAAAAATTACATCTCAATTTAAGTAGTGTTCTTAGAAGATAATTAAGACCTCGTAATGTTAAAGTGCTTCTAAAGACATTTAAAGCTAGCATGTATTTCTATTCCAAGTTTGTTTTGTAGTATACCTCTTTATTAATGTACTTTTTACTCGAAAGTTGGTTGTTTCTACTTGACATAAATATATTTATTTATGCGTGTAAACTTTAAACTGTGGTTTGAGTAATGTATGCATGCAGTCATAACATGGAGACTTTCTTACACATGGATAAAAGCTTTAAGGCTTTATTTTTTTAAGGTAGAAGGGTAAAATTTATGCTACCACCTCTTTAGATATAAATGGCCAATGAAAAAAACTGCATTCCCCCCTTTTTGCCAGTCATTTTGTTCAGTTTGAAAAGTGATATTTTTGTGTGGAAAATTCTTTCTGACAACAACATCATTAAGCACTGAGTTTTTTTAAACTAAATTTTCTTAGTTATATGATGCCCTGATGCTGATTGTGGAATGTAAACTGTTTAGTGGTGTGGTTGGGGCAGTTGTTATGATATGAAGTGTTAACCAGATTCTTTAAAATATTATTTTCTTGGATAAAGAAAAAAAGAGAGAGAAAGATACAGAAAAATATTTTAAAGTCATTTGCCTAGAGTATGTTATAGTCAGTAAGTGTGTTGTCACTGCTGTCAAAGCTTGTCTTTTTTCTTCTGTTTACAGCTTTTGTAAATACTGACTGTGTTGTTTTTAAATAGATGATGCTTAAGTCTGGGCAACTTTTTTCTTGATTTGTTTTTTTAAATTAAATATTTGTCTGTACAGGTCACTCAAGATAGGGGCACAAATATGGACATGGTCACTGGCAATTACCTTGTCTTCTCTGCTATACTGACTTTGGGTATATTTTTTGAAATAACTGTAAAAAGATGTAAATATGTTTATGTTTAAAAGGCAGTTGTATATTGTAAACGTGGCAGCTTCAGTTCATCCTTAAAAATGAAAAGAATAAGAAATTATGTTGAATGACATGAATCACCATTGTGTTTTGTATGTTTGTTAGTTGAGAAGTATGTGTGTCATGGCATGGGAAAAAGAGGAGTTATTGTAGTCAAATTTTAAAAGTTGACTTTAATTTGCTATTTGCTAAATTAATATAATCGAAGGCTATGAAGGAGTATTAATTTAAAAAGAAGTCTTTGATAACTTTTGACATTGAACTTTTATAATATAATTTTTATAATATGGAAATAATCCGTCATGTATGGAAAAGAAAGATAGATATCAGGCCATGTGTAGTTGTATTTGTTGACAGCAGTCAAGTGGGGATTGCTCTTGTGTGCTCAACTGATGCATTGTTTCCGAAATGCAACAGTACTTCATAATTTTTACAGAATGTAAAGTGTAAAAACTTACATTCAAGTCTGATGATTTTCTCACAAAAGAAAAAAAAATTTGCGGGGTAAATGGTATTTTTCCTTGTCTAATGAATCGATGATCCTCTTTTCCAGACACTGACCTTAATTTTGTAAGAGTCCAGGAAATTTTTCCCCCGAGCTAAATGCCCCCCCCCTCTCCCAACCAAATAACCAACCTTTAATCTTCCTTTTCTGACACTTACCATAACAATTTTGGAAAAGACAAAAGGTTAAAAAATTAGTGTTTTTGAAATGCTTATGGGGTATTGGGTATTCAAAGTGATTGTGATAGGGTAGATTGTATAATGAATAGTATTTGTCAAATAAGAGTTACCCAGTTATCCTTACTTATACACCTTAAAAGTTTAACCCTTTAATGTTTAAGTCTTGAGTGTACCTGATGTTGATATTTCCATTGGATCTTATAGGAAAATGATTGTTGTTATGACTGGCCAGTCATTTTAAACTAAAATCAACCTTTATAAGTTTTCAAAGGTTGAATCCAAGTGCAGAGAGAGATAGATAAATGATTTGTGGGTACAAAAATTGTTTATTTTCATGGGAAAATCAATTTTGGCAGGTAAATCTCATGGAGTGTGCGTTTAAATATATTTCCAATGAAACATACTGACTTACAAAATCCAAATTATTATAGAAATAATATGCTCATAAGACATGTAGGGCTTACCCTGTTATACATGGATTCTTTTCATTTTCAGAAGCTCTTAAATGTAATTTTAAGGATCACAATTCATTACTTAAAAAAAAGCACTTGTTAACATTCCTTGACAATTTAGTAACTGCTGTTATAACAAAGAGTAGTGTTTTTTAAGTCACAAAAACCTCACAAAATTGTCTCTTTTCAAACAGAACTACCTTCATCCTGTTATATACTTTTATTTCATAACCTATACTTCAATAATTTAACCCTTTTCCTGATCAGTTGTAATTTTATTAATACATATGATTATATTTTAGTAGTTAAATGATATTAGATCCTGATTGATTGGTTTACATAAAAACTGTCAAAGTAGATTACAAGTGAGGTAATTGTTATTTGTTCATTTTTATCTGTAATTTCAAATTGTAGTAGAATTTACCCTATTTTATTTATTGAAAGATTTATATAAGGACTGAATAAGGAATGAATGTCTAAAGATATCCCTATACTCATCAATAAGTAAGCAAAAGGATTGCAAACCCACATTGTCTAATCTGATCAGCATCAAATCTGGATTTGAGATTTGGATCAGTTGTAAACAAAATAGCAATCAGAAGTAGAAGAAGATTTTGAAAGCATTTGAAACTGTAGATGGCCATAACTGGGGGTTTCCCCTTTTCTACGAAAGCAGCAGTTGTGGTTTTTTTTTCACCCTCCCCCACACAGCCTCAGAACCTGCAATGAGGTCATGCTTACACTGCTCTGACGTATTTACTACCAGATACGTTTATTAAAAAGAATGTTGCTGTGGTCTGAGGACAGAATTCTCCATTGTGAAATGTTTTTGTGTATTTTAGGATTATTTTTTCTTTTTGAAGTGCTCAGGGTTGATGTAGAAGGTAGGCTATCCAATAAACTTTTTTTTGGTTATCATCTTATTATCTTTTTTTCTGTGTTTTTATTAAGAGAATATGAATTGTGCTCTTGAGAATTGTTTGGTGAATAAGCTCTGGTGTCATATTGTAACAGTGTGCATGTCATTAATTTGGATCTTTTTATGGAAGGCATCACAAGAAATTAAGAAAAAAAAACTCAAGTTGAGCATTTTGTTCTGTTATTTAGCTAAACTGATATTTTTATACTTTCATTTTTCACACTACTGATATTGCATTTACAAAAAATTGAGATGAGATTGTTGAAAGTTTTTCTGTTTTCTTGGCTTGTGAATTGATCCTGAATATTTTATCCTGCATTAACATGTTACAGACACATCTGGGCTAATTCTATTAAATATATAGAAAGCACTTGGCTTTAGAAATTAAACAATGCAAACATTGTCTAGTCAATTGCCGGAAACATTGCAGACAGACTGTGATAGTAAACTTGTGTAGGTTTAATCAAAGATAATTTCTCTGATAATTGGAATTATATTGGCAAGCTGGTCTTTCCAATATATAAAAAGATGCAAATTTTATGGATGGATTTTTAGTGTTTCATTTTCCATCTTCATTGTCAGGACATGTTACCAACCTTCATCTGTCTCCATTGCCAGAGCTAAATCAGGAGATGTTTGCATTTCTTATTACTGCAAATGCTGTCAATGTAGCTATTTTGCTTATAACTGACATTGATAACTCATTCATTTAGGCCAAGTTCAAGAGAGGGCAAGATCTATTTATTCATCTTTTTTCATTTTTTTTTCAATAATTTTTGTCATGTGATTATTGTATCTCCAGGTGATAGACCCTGTTTGAGTTGCTAGGCTAAGTGTTAGTCTAAGATGAAAAATTGCAACTTGGCATGATTCAATTATTCCTATATATTTCCATTTTTGTAAATATATATTAATGATTGTTAACACTTTCTTTATCATCTCAGTTTGAGCTGAGACTTTTTTTTTTTTTTTGAGAGCTTTGAGAGCCAGAAACAGTTAATTTTTTAAATGGGCATGCTGAAATTGTTATTTTTATTATTTTGATTTTTTTGCATATTGTTGAATGTTCAAAACATTACTGAGGTGAAAAGGTTATTATTCATTAAAATTGTATTTCTCTTACTGAAACCCAGATCAGTCTGACTGGTGATTTCACTTTAAATTTCAGGTGGTGTTACAGTTTAATTTTCATAGTAAACCTGAGGCTGACCTGCACAGGCTGTTGATATTATCCATAGAAATTGTTTAGTGCTTGGTTTGATAGACTTGAATTCACTCCTCCTATCAGAGTTTGTTTACCCAAGCTCAGTGTGGGACACAGATAACACAAAATCAATTTCAACTTGTCACATGTGCTATAGCCTGTAAACTAGCATTTTTATGATGCTTTTTATTTTATGTTGAAGTTGTAGAAGGATTGCCATAGTTTTAGTTCCAGAAACTTATTTGTAGACATTGGGAAGCTTGTTGTGACACTTGAAGCATGTTTTAGGAGCTAGTCAGCAGACATGCAAGTAAATTTAGTGATGTCTTTGGAATACAGTATTTTACTTGATATTTGTAAGTTTACGTTTAAGATATCTTATGTTTTTTTTTTTTGTTTTTTTTTCAGGTATGAACTTCTTAACTTTCTTTGTATGCTTCTTGGGGTATATTGATCAGTAAGCTGTTTTTGTACCCATTTTACCTGGCCTAAGGATTAAGTATGCAGTGTGCATAAATTAAAGTAGTTCTGTTAATTAACCTGTATCATCAGAGCATACATATCTTTGCTTGGTCTATATTTGTTCTTGCCTGTCAACATAATTGTGTATACATGTCAAAGTAGGTAGTGGCAAACTGTAGCTGTTTTACAGTCCTGATATGCCACCATTTGAGGTATCAAAACATATTTGATTATAGATATCAAAGAATGGCTGTCGAAAAGGAAAGGGTGTGTATGGTAATGTCAGAAACATTAATGGAGCAGGTCTTTTGGTCAGCATTGAAGTTAGTGAATACTTTTATATAAGCTTAGGGTTTGTATTCTTTGTTTTAGAAATTTGTAAGGTAAAGAATTTACAGTTGTTTTGAAACTAGTGTAATTTAGTTCTTGTAATATTTGCTTGCACACAGCACTTAACAGGAAAAAGAAAAATTCTTGCTTCATAGGAGAAAAGGAACGGGTGCTGCTTTGTCGCTGTCGTGTGCTCATAAGTCATGTATGTACATGTGAAATGTGGGGGGACTTTATTAAGATGATAATGCTGTTGCTATTGGACAAGTGGAGAGATTTAAAAACTGTTTATTCAACAAGATTATGTTAGTTAATACATTAAAAATCTATGCAACAACATGCTTATAATTTTTTAATGACACCTTTTTCAGATGGTCATTTAACAGTTGTTATCTCTGGAGCTCCACATATCCATAACTCACTCCCATGATTGAAACAACAGCTGCAGCACGTCTTTTCAAAGCAGAATGAAACCATTCAGTGAACAACTTTGTAGAAATAGATTTAGCAACCTTACTGTCTCATTGTGATTGGCTGGACCCATCCAAGATGGCGGTTATTTTGCGGACCATTACCCTTGGTTGTGGCTCAAGTCGTGACAGCGATACTCCAAGGTTTCCAAAGTAAGTTTATGTGAGGATGCAATTTAATAATAAATGTAATGTGAGCTCGCTTGCAATAAATGTGGTCTCTTTATTTTGAAAGATGCTCTATTTTTTTCAGAAAAAAAAAACTATAAGAAGATGGGGATTGTACACAGTAGTGGTAGCATAATTATTTTGGACAGCCAAAAATATTTATTATGAGACCTTATCACGTTAGGGAATATTCAGGGTCTAGTTGATTTGTGATTGATTGATTGATTTATAAGATCTTTTGGCTGCTTTTTAATTTCATCATCACTGTTATTTCCTAGGGTCAAATTTGGGGTTCCATTGGACCAAGCATTTAAAAATGGAATTGTCACAGAGCCCTTGGAGGTAGGTGTTTTTAAATTTTACAACCTTTTCATGTGCATAAAAACAGGAGATATCTAGCAAATATTATTTTATCTACAAATCTTTTGGATTTGTATCCTGAGATTCAGATTATTGCAGACAATCAAGGGGGCCAGTCTACTTTGAGCCTCTGACTTCCACTAGGGTTTTAGACTGTTCATCATCCAAAGCAACAAGACTGATTATGTTCAGCAGTTCAAAGTGTAATATCTGTTGGCAGATTTTAAATGCTCTATGGCAACATATTATCTATATGGATGATAGAAGCCTCTTCTCCATATAATCAATTGAATGGCAATTTGTGATTGGTATGGTACCTTAAAAGAATAACAGAACAACACTAATTGATAAGAAAGGCTGGGGTAGCGCTAACACTCGCCAATTTAGCCAAATGCTAAAACTGGCCTTAATTGGCTAAGAAAATGGGCTTGATTTGACTAGTTTTAGTCAAATTATAACCATTTTGATAACAAATTGACAAAAAAGTGGTGATTTGGCTAAGTGAAAAAAATTGCTAGCGCTACCCCAGAAAGGGCTTGTGACTTTAAAGCTTAGAAAAAATATTTGTCATTTAGATTGATCTTATTTACACATTATATGTAATTGCCTGTCATTTGGCAAATTTTATAATTGTTTTTGATTGTTGATTTTATAACCAGAAATAGTCTTTCTTATAACCATAATTCTTTTTAATACATCTTCTAACTTTCAACTTTTATTTATCTTTCAGGAAATCATAGTAGTATTGGCACGAGAAGGTGTGGCATCAACAAACATCTTCCGCAAGCCAGGCAATCCCACAGATCTCAAACGTATTGTGAAACGATTAGCAGAAGGAAAACAAATCATTACATCAAATTATAATTTTTATACATTATCTTCTGTATTGAAGGTAAGGTGCTGCTTAGATAATTGGGAAAAAGCAATATTAAGCATTTGGAAAATGTTATCCTTTTTTTGTTATTTTGTGTTTTTAGCATTTTACAGCTGTTTTAGTGATATGAGGAATGACATATTGAAAAAAAACATTGTGAAATTGTTTTAGGGTCACTTTTTCCGAAATCAAAATTAGGACTTCTGCAGAGAATCGTCCATGTTGCAGAGCTAGATAGGATTTAAGACTCACACATTATTAAGAAGATTTAGTTTTTGTAAAAAAAAATTGACTTCCTCTTAAGTTGTGATGCAAAAGTTTCTTGGTGCATCCTGCTGAGATGGAAGCTTGCCCAGGGCAATCCTCAATAAACGATTGTTCTGTTAAATAGAAACTGTGTAAGATGAATTTAATTGAGGCTCTTGTGCATATTTACTATGATTGATGGAATATGTGAGATGAATTGAGCCAAAGTAGTAACAATTTTTGGAGAGATTGAAGACTAAATGTAGCGATTCTACAAATTGTTAATAAGGTACTCCCATCACTTGCAGGTGTTATTCAAGTTCTGTTGTCAATAACACTCCCTGCCACACACACACACACACACTCACACACACACACACACACACACACACACACACACACACTACAGCACATGGAATACTTTGATAGTTTCTTGGTCTTTTCAGCTGCTGCCTTATTAGATAACTAGTATTATTGAAACTCTACAGTAAGACACATACTGGTTTGGCATAGGGATATGTCATCCATTAAGAAATGTAATAAGAATGAGTTTAAAGGTATAAAACCAGGCATTGCAGCAAAGAATAATTGCAACATGGCACATAGTTGAAGCATGTCGTTTTTCAAGAGGAAATTGATGCTCATGTAATGTTGAAAATGGAAAATGTCAAGCCACTTTAAGTTTTTCACATATAAAAATTGTTTCCAGTGAACAAAGTTTTCATCAAGCAGTCATTTTATCAGTATTTTGTGAAACAGTTAAAATATATTCAATGTAATGTTTTCATCTTTGCAGAAATTTTTGCTCAAGATTCCTGGAGGAGTATTTGGTGAAGAGGGAGAGGGACTTTTACTACAGGCAATGGAAATACCTGATACAATGGAAAGATATGAAAAGATTCATAAGTAAGCATCTGATATGTTGCTCTCTAATCTGTAATTTGACAATATTTTTGTTTGGGTGTGACATCTAACTAATACATTAGGCAAAAATGTTTTTTAAAAATGCTAACACTTTCTGAGCTAAAATTTACATTTGATTATCTGAATAGAATTTTTAATAGATTCATTGTCTTAACTTTATTATTCAGTGAAGAGTGCAAATTGTTTTCAGTTGCCAATGGTTCAAGTGACTCACTTAATCATTTTCAGATTCTTAGATAAGAAAAAAAATAGAGATTAGATTTGTGCTTATGACTTTGATGTTTATAATTTGAATAAGTTGGAGGACTGCATACTGTGACGGTGTGCAAGGATCACTGTGGGTGATAGTGACCACTTACTCCATGCCTAGAACACTTTTCAGTAAACCTTTGTGTAGTTTTTTACCCACTTAACTCTACTACCACCATCCCATCCTTGTTGTTTGTGCTTAAAATGACTTGAATATCAGCATGACAATCACCATTTTCCTTGTGACCTTGTAACACACCTTGCACACCAGATGTAAAGAGAATCTGATTTGGAGTCCACCATCTTAACCTGATACTAACTGACATGCATTTATCATATCATATTCTACACACATAAGCATATGTAAAAATAATTTCTGCATCCTTTAACATAAAATAAGGTGTTAACCTTTATCATTTCAGATACTTCATGTCCCTAAGCAAAAGCTCACAGCGCTTTCTAGCATTATTATTTGGGACATGGTTCCGTGTAGTGCATCATTCAGAAATCACTGCCATGTCTGGTGAGGCCTTAGCTCGCAGTGTAACAGGAAGTATGTTTCACACTTGCTCAGATGATCCAACAAAGGTCGCAAAGGCATCCAAAGTAATGCAGTTCTTGATTGAGAACTTTGCAGTCTCAAATATGTTTGGTGTCGAGAATATTCAGTATTTCGTAGAGCGGACCAACTCAGGGATTCATGTGACTCATAAGTTTAAGTATGAATACAAATATCCATCTGAAGAATTAGTGCCAAGTAAGTGAGATCTTCTCAACGAAGTGAAACTATATTTTCTATCTTATTCAAAAGTCTGTAGGGTTTTCTTAGAGTGCATTTTATTTGATATGCACATATGCAGGTTTCCTCAAATATATGATTTGTGAAAAATATGTGATTAACACAGCCATACCTACACACACTGGACAATAGAAGTGTCACCCCCTAAATCAGAGTAATCAAAGTAGGCAGATCTTGGGTAGTTATAATGCCTGGTCTACTTATAGTGTGACTAATGAGTGTAAAACCGCTGTACCATGGAATTGTATTGTTGGTCTTGTACATGTACAGTAAATGTTATTCCTGTCTTCCTCCAATATGGCAAAATACAGGCAATTATCTAATGATTATAGACGTCAAGTTATTAACCTGAAGAGGCGGAATATAAGCAATGTCAGAATATCAATACAGTTGAATTGTTCAGTCAGAACCGTGTAGAGGGTCTGGTCTCGGTATAAAAACACTGGATCAAGAGACAAATTGCCTCTGATGGGTCGTCCAAGAAAAACTACTGACCGTGAAGACTGACGACTGATTTTGATGTCCAGATTGTCAAAGTTCGACATTGCTTGTCAGTTGACAACACAGTGGGTGTCGGTTACATGCTCAGAGAGTGAACAGCAGGTTAGCAAGACTGAAACCTCTTATATCGTTACAAAACAGGCAACATAGAGTGAACTAAGGCCAACAGGATCTGGAACCGGACAGTCCATGACAATTGGTCCTAAATAGTTTTTCTGATGAATGTCGCTTTGGTCTGACCTCTGATGACAGACAGGCCCGATGCTGGCAAACTGCTGGTAAAGCATTTGAACCACATGCACTGAGTTTTCGAACCCGGAGCAGCATATCTATCATGGTGTGGGGCTGCATCAGCATCCATGGCGTGGGTGAATTGGTAGTGGTTGATGGAAACATGAATAACCAGAAATATATCGATGTTTTGGAGTCAGGCTTGCTATGTTTGGTGACAGGAATTCTTCATTTGTTCACCAGGATGACAATGCTCCTTGTCACAGACACAGAGCAGTTGATGATTGGTTTGACCAACAGGACATTCGCAGGGTGGTGTGGCCTGCCCTGAGTCCAGATGCAAAAATAATAGAAAATTTGTGGAATGATATGTCACAACTTTTGACAAATGCCCGTCCAACCAGCAGACAAACTCTGTTAGATTCAGTGTTTCATGCTTGGGCCAGCATAAGCTCTGAACGCATCAGACAATAATGTGAATCCTTGCCTCGCAGACTGGCAGCTATTATTAGGTCATGTGGCTATGCCACTAAGTACTAATTTTGGACTTGAAACTGCATTGGTAGAATGTATGTTTTGTTCTCATTTTGTGTTTTTTTTTTTTTTGTGAAATTTGATGTTAATAAAATGATACCAGGAGCATATCATTCCACAGTCATTTATCTCCCCCAAAGTAATGCTTCAGTAGGGGTGACACTTCTATTGTCTAGTGTGTGTACATGTGAAATCTCATGTTGATTTTTAGTCATATCACCAGATATGTACCTTTACAGACTTTTAGATAGAGCTAAAGCATGATTAATTAACTATGAGCTTTTTCAACATTCTACACAGTAAATATTCCAACTGCTTACTACTAATACGACATATATATTTTCTTATATTTATTGTATTTTATCTAAAGAGTTGTACCTGAAACTTATCAGTGCACATTCTTTCTGTTTCTTTAAACTTTGGATGTTTCAAAATTTAATCTGATGATGCATGGATTTCATTTGCACTTAGCTATCTACCTTTTTAATATCGATTTAAAGGGATAATAACTCTGAGATCTATATTTCACAATAAAAACATTGTAGACAACTCATAGAAATATAATATATTCTGTTTTACCACAAAAACGGCAGTTATAGCTGTTATTCTGATATCTGTGCTTGTTATTGGACCACGTGACCTCCAAAGATGGCTATACTCTGTAATAATCTCTTGAGAGATTATAACAAAAAAAAAAAAAAAACTAAATTTTTAGAAAAAAAAAAAAAAAACGGGGACTAATATTGAATTTAGAAATGGATTCATTAACCATTGGTAAGTATTGGAAAATTGTTTACTACAGGAAAATTCATTTTTTGGCCAAAACAAACAGTTATTATCCCTTTAAGTCTAAAAACAGCATAAAGATCAAATACAAAGCAAAAATATACTTAAAACAATTAATCCTAAACAGGCTGCATCTGAAATTTAATCAGTTGAGCAACTTTTAAATCATACACTTCTTTGACTGTTTTGTTCATTTTTGTGTTTTGTTTTATATAGCTATAATCTAATCAGTAGTAACCACAGTTATTTTTACTAAAGAATAGTAATGTTTGATACTAACATTCAACTGGTATTTCCAATAGAGCATGAAAGGTTTTCAATACACCTATGACATTACTGTCATAAATGGTAAGCATATTGAATTCTGAGTATGTTTCACTTGCCAGTAAACCAAAATGATCAAAGAACTTGCATATGTATATTTTAGGTATCATTAGCAGTAAACAAAAAATAATTAGACATCATGAAATGAAATCGACTTCAAAAGAATTTAGCAGCTTTCAGTAGAATAGATACTTTGACCAATCTGGATAAAACAAAATCCTCTCATTCTTCACTCTGAGTGTCTGTCCAATACAGTACACTAGATAGCTTCTGTGCAGGCACTTTTTACTTTGTCCTCTCTACCTCCAGCTTGGAATGAAGGTTTTTTAAAATTTATTTATTTATTTATTATTTTTTTTTTTTTTTTGGGGGGGGGGGGGTTAAAATTGGTAACCACCTTAAACAAGAAACATTTGTGGGGTTTGAGAACAGAGCTCTCAGAACCATTTTGTGTCACATCAGAGCAACTTGATATAACATCTTGAAGGAAATTTTTTGCATCCACCAGTTCTCAACCAATAAGAGTGCAGAATTAGAGGACCAAACATTATTCTGGCTGATACTGTGGCAAGCATGTTTATGATGTGAATTTATTGCACTTTGTAATTTCTCCCTTGCATGATAATGAACCTTTTTCTTGCATGCTTGCATTACCAGGAGAAAAATCCTTGAAGTTATTTTCGCTAGTCCTCCAGACTGAAGCCAAGAAACGGGGCTTCCATGTTGATATGGATGGTAAGAATATATAATACTAAAAACAGATTGGTTGTGTCATAAACATAATGCATTGGTGTTTGTGTAACTTGCAAGATGTTGGTAAATAGTAGATAATGCGTAAATAAGTAGGATGGGTGCAGTATCCTAAAGTCATGATAAAAGACAGATTTGTAGTATGTTTTTTGTCAGCTGGAGTAGTTACATTATATGCCTGTTGATGTCTATTGTGCCATCCACATTCTGACTGTCATAGATCTTTATAATGATATTATATCCCCTTAGCAGCACTGAGTGCATTGTGACATAATAAACTTGTTCCTCTTTGGCTAATGCATGTGGATAGAATAAGACGTAGTTTTGCCATCTTTGAATTATGTATCTTAACAGTGTCAGATGTGCAGCACTCTTCCTTACAACCATCTTCTGCACTTTTTTCTTGCTTTTGCAACAATTTTGCAATCAGTTTGTGAACATTTTTTGATTCAAAATAATCAATTAATATAAGCATTATCAATAATTTTTTATGAATTAATTAACTCATGTTATTCGATTAAGTGGACTTTTATTACTGTTAATACATGATTGAAGAATTTTTATAATTGTCTAATCTACCTGTATATAAAAAAAGTTAGACTTTTTTACCAAAACATTTTCAGCAGTGACGTCAGAGCAGTTTGCGATGACAGCAAGCGAGCTCAAGCAAAGAAGGCAGCAGACATCATTATCCTCACCCCAACAACCACAGCAGCACAAAGAGACGCTCTCTGGTAGTAACATGGGAAAAGGTGACTGTGAAAATTGCCCTCCCACAGGACAAGGCGGGTTGGCCAATAAACAGGTAGAGGCCGTAGAGATCCATACGGCACCTCCTTTAAGACGCCCTGTGTCCCAGCAGGTGGCGCCCTCTCACAGAGACCGTGCTTCTACTGCCCCTTACTTCCTGTCTCCTGTCCAGCAGAAGTACTTGCACAATGCAACCTCCCTATCTGCACCTGATGTTAACAAGGTTGGTTCAGGGGCTACTGCTTTGCACACCAGGTTTTCTTGACTGTGTTTTTGGAAAAAAATGGTCATAATTGTGTATAGATGCTGTAGCTGTAGAATAGTTTGAATATGTTCATAACTATTTTTTGAATACATATTTTTCAAAAATACAGTCCATGTGCAGAGAACTATAATAATGTGAGTAAAATGTATTTGTTGCTCCTAATCTTTAACCTCTGCCATTGAACTTGATATGAAAAAAGAATCTGAATGATTTATTATTACATTGCTAATGAATAATTTTTTTATTGTTAAAGGTTGGGGAACTAAACTATACTAGAAAATTTATATGCTTCTAGCTTAGCCTGATTTTTCCAATCCTAGTTACTGCTTAAGCTGCTTGAAATGGTTTAAGCTTATGCTTAGTCGCTCAGTATCTTTGTAATTAATATTCAAACAATATTGAGATATACCAGGGGATATTTTAAATTTCTGTATGGTATATAAGTGTAAAGGCTTTGGATTTTGAAATAACTTTGAATACACTGTTAAATCTTTGTGTATCAGTTTGTCTTTGTGTTAATCACAGAAAAAAGACAGTAGTTTCAGCCCAATGTAACATGAAACTAACTCAAAATTATTCATTTCCTGTTGCAGAGGTTCCGCCGGAAGCCAGATGAATCAAAAATGCGTAAAACTTTTCAGACCAAAAGTTTGAGTCGATTTGACATAATCAAAAAGAAACAAATCCAGAGAATGCGCCAGCGCTCGAACTGGTTTCTTGGACCCTTTAACAGCATTAATTTGAGCATGGATGGTAGTGACTTTGGGGACAGAAGTCGGGACACATCTGTTAGCAGAGGGTTTTCAGAGACTGGTACATCAGATGCTGGTATGTCAGACGTAGACAGTGTTTTTACAGAACATGATCAGTCATTGGCAGAAGAGGAGGAACAGGATACATTTGTTGATGAATCTGGTGAAAACCAGCATGTCTTTTTAAGTTTACCAGTGGAAGCCTCTTCCAGTGATTGTCCTCTAGAACAGACAGACATTGCACAGATCTCTAACGGAGTTCCGGATTTGAGTGAGGTCGATTTCACGCAAGTTGAAGAGAGGTACTTTGTTACACAAACATGGTTTGAGCCCAAAAAGGGGGGCAGCTGATCTTTTGATCTTTCTTTGGATCAAATGTGCTGGTGTTTTATTGAATATTAACCACAGATAAATAACAAGATATGTACTTTTGAACTATCTCTTTTAAATATTTGTGGAACAATCAAACCCTTGGTCTTTCATTATTTTTTTGCCAGAAAGGTCAAATAGGTTGTCTTTCATAATATAAAAGCTATATATAAATGGTACTTTGTTGTTTTGCTTGCCCTAAGAATTTGCTGACTAAAATGATTTAGGTTGTTTTTAAGCCAGATAGTTTATGAGCTGGTTCTCATTAGACTGATATAACAGTAACAATTACATGATGCTGAATGGTAAACATAAAATGTTGAGCAGTGGAATATCATCTAAAAGAAAGCAGATGGGGATGTTGTTGAGGGGTAATTAAATTTTAAACCATGAAATAAATATGATTCAGTATTACAATTAACTTACAGATGATACTGTTTATTAGTTGTTGCACACTGTTGCAGCATGACAGAGCAGACATGTTTTCCCTGAACCTTTCTAGTAACATATTATAAAGGTGCATTTTTTGAATTGGTGTTTTAGAGTAAATTTTTTTGACTATCATTACAATTTTCCTCTATGGAAATCATAGCGACCGTGAAAAAAAAACTTAGGGAAACCAAATATTGTCAGATTATGCTAATTTTATAATAGAAATATAACAGAACTCTGAAGGAAATATGACACACTATGAGACAAGTCGAGTGGGACACTAAATCACTATAACTTTATAGTTGGACAGATTTTAAGAGCTGTCATTTTCACAAGAAGTTGAGCTTATTTTGCTATGTTTAGTTATTTATGTTTGTCAACTGTCTGTGCTGACATGACTTTAAATATTGTAAATTATTTTAACAATTCCATGGGGTTTTACTCAGTGAGTGTACTGTGTTATCAATTTAAGAGCCTGTTTATTTAATGTTGACTTGCTGCTTCACATAGTTCCTTAGTGAACCATGCAGTTCACATCAACATACAGTTTTTTATAATTGTACAATGTGTTGTGTGGAGATTTGGTAGAGCAGTTACAAGTAAAACATCTCATGATCGGCTTATGCTGTTACTCTGATGCATTCCAGTACTTAAATTATAAGAAAACAAGTTATTTATCTAAGTAGAAGTTGTAAGGAAGTATATTTTGTTTTAATCCTAATTATTGTAGTAATTGATATTTTACATAGAAGATGATTTAGATATTTTAGTTTATTTTCAAAGAAACATGTTGAAAAGAGTATTAACACTTTTTCAACCAAAGTGTGGAAGGCCGTGGATAATTTTGTCCATTTGCTTCCAATGTGTATTCCATTGGTGTGCTAAATTGAAGTTATTTGTGTCACTGATACTTCTGTTTTACATTAAGATGCCTTTGAGGTGCTCTAAGGAGAAAGAGGGGCATCATGAATTAGATTTTTGATATGTACAAGTTTTCTGAGAAGCAGAGACTATTTAAGTATCCTAGATATGATATAACAGTGAAACAAGGTAGCAAAGCAGTTAAACTGTGGCTTTTAAGTAAACAGCAAGACAGACTGTAAAGTAAATGCTATAGGCAGTATGACTGTGACATTTAAATGGCTGGTTGTAGTCAGCCATTGCCTTCCTTTTCAGCAGGGATTAAATTTTTATCTTATTCAATATTAATCTGTTTTCAAATTTGATGTTTTTGCACATTCAAAGTGATTTTAAAGCAGTTCCACAGCAATTTCACTGATACACAGTGGGCACTTATTTCTATCAATTTTAAAGTGATCTATTTATCAAATCATTCATTTAGTACTCCCATTTGGGGTTTGTATATTTGGGTGCTGTTGTACAGGAATTTGTCATTGTAACATTGATTTTTAAGTATTGGTGTATATACTTGTGTAAATATGCATATGTTTCTGTGTGATATGGTAGCTTTGTTTTATTTTGAATATTTTACTGGTTGTGCAGCCTGTTTTTTCTAATGGAACCCGAGCACTGTTTAAACATAATTGAACTGCAAGATAGCTTTTTTTTTAAAATGGTATTTGAATTGATATACATGTGGCATTATTGCAATATGTTTGTGATCTCGTCATGTTCTGCTAATTCTACTGATGTGTTTTAAATTATCTTGTGCATTGCAAATATATTGAACATATAAAACATGGCCCTCATACATTTTGATTTTTAAAAATGATTTTTGTTGCTGAAGCTTTCAATAAAGAAATCTGTTAAATAAAACATTGTCATTCAGAGGTGTATAATCTGCATTTAAAAAGAAAGATACATAAATATATCGGAGAACATCTAGCTTGTTCTCAAAATAAACATTTTCAAAGTTTATGAAATGTATTTTACATAAAGTATGACTCACTGGCTCTTTTTAGGTAAAATATTCTATAATGTAATATGCTTTGTACCAGGAACAGTTCACACTGAAAAACAAAGTGAATTTGTTAAAAAAAAAAAAAAAAAAAACCCGGAAGGCTCACCATCATTTTAAAACAATTGTTAGGCTTAGAAAACGAAAATAAATACTTTCTACTCTAACCTCTATGTGAACACCAAAAACTGACAAAACTGGGAAATAAAATAAAACGTTACTATTTATAACTGACTTTACCATCACTCATTTCATATTTAGAACTTCAGACCGCAAAATTAAAGACCACATTCAATCGAGTTTTAGAAGTTTTCATTTGCACCTACATCTTTGTTACACTAAGGAATTTAATCATCTATTGATAGGCAATTTTTGCCAACAATAACCTCCGGACACAAAAAAAAATTAAACCTTTGGGGAAAATAGCATAGCTATATTTTTAATCATAGTGAAAGATAAAATTATTCATCTAAATATCGGTGAAATATGTACTTTTAGATCTACAGAAATATTCTCGGAGAAACTAGCAGGGTTGCAAATCGAAAGTAAACGGTTGACGTCATTAGTGTCAACCAATGGGCGGAAGGCATAAGTCCCATGAGGCTCGGAGGAAGCCCGCGGCTGACAAAGAGGCCTTTTATTCCCAGTAGAATCAGATCGCACAGATGCAGGCATAAGCCGACATAACTTTAGGAAAATCTCCAAACTTAACACAACAAGTGAAGTGATCAACCATTTTGACGTTTATCGGCTTGTCAATCCAGGACAGTGTCATGTCGTCTGCAGGCGCTTCTGTTTCGGAAATGTGGAGAAAAGAAGGGAATCAACATTATGTTTCCGTTAGAGATTCTCTGACTCCAGACTTGCGTCGTCAGCGATTGCTGTCAGCCCTGAAATGCTATTATAAAGCGAATGATTTTAGCAACACTGCTGTAGAACGTTCCTCTGCTGCCAAAAACACTGGCATGGCAGCATGGAAACTCGCGGTCGTTTTACGGATTTGCAACGAGAGGTTCTCCCTGCAGCAGCATTACTTCAAAGAGGCAATACAGCATTTTAACCTGGGAATAACTAGTGGTGAACCAGTACAGTCCGAGGATTGGGTGAAGAAAGTGACAGGGATGTTGTTTTCCTGCACTCAGGAGGCTTTGCAAAATTGTGGAAATCTGGAGACAGACCAACGTGTGCAAGCCATAGAGGAGTACTTAAATTATTTATCGCCAGATCACCCATCTCCAAGAACGGACTGCTTCATCGAGATTGCAAATGTACTTTTTAGGTGTTAAGCATTTTCATTTTCTATATGTATCAGTGTATGGGTTTTCGTTTAATTGATTTAAATTTGTGTTGTTAAAATGACTCGTCTTTGAAATCTGTCATTTTCAAGCCTAGTTTAAATTGTACATCTTGTACTGCCCAGTAAATGAATTTACAACTAGGAGTGCCCCCCTGAAAAAGGTTTTGAAGGACCTATCTTAAATTGCTTGAGAATTTTTGACAGATGTTTAAATTGTTTGGGGCATCCCACTTTGACAGTGCCTAATATATATATATATATATATATATATATATATATATATATAATTTTATTTATTATTTTTTTCGCCATTGCTAGGGCTAGTAGATACATGCCAACCTACATTATGTCAGTCCTGTGGGAGAGAGGGGTGTCAACCTTTTTGGCAGGAAAAATGCCTGCTCTGAATATAAATTTGATCTTGTCATTTCAGCTGAAAGGTCTACTGTTTTAGAAAAAATAAAACTCTTGAAATTGCTGGGTTCATGTACAGGCCTCGATTATATCTTTCACAGCTAGATGAGAAATTCATATGGCCACAAACTACATTACAAAGCAAATTAACAACATGTATTGAAACCACCTGTTAATGTTTATAGTTATAGAAGAGGGGCAATAAATTAAACTGGGAGCAAGAGGTTGTCTCACTCATCCACTGTCCTGCAAGTGCCCCTTTGATGTTTATCCCTGTGATAACTGTCATAATTAAGATTACCACAGAAAGGAGATTTTAAAGTGGGTTCTTCTAGAAGAACTGTTTTCTGTTTTGATATACTTAAAACTGTGACTTGAGTTAAAGAATTTTTGTTACCTTTCCTTTTGTCTAGAGCTGGAATAACTTCCCTTCAAATTGGTAACTACAAGGACTGTTTACAACGTATGCACCAGTGTTATCAGCCTATAGAAGAGGGGAAGCGCAGTGCCAGAGATGGTATAGACCTGCTTCAAGAGTTGCAGATTTTAGAAAATGATGTCTTCATTCACACGTGTGTGTCTGAGTCCATTCAAGCAAGGACCACAGGTACATCCACAATTGAAAAAAAAGTGGTACTACAATTAAATTGATAGAAGTATTAATTTTAAATTTCTTTTTGAAATAAGTGCTTGTCATTAGTGCTTGAAAGGTAAATAAGTTACATAAGAAAACAAATCTGGATGGAAGTATGAACTACATAAAGATCCACCTTAAAATTGTAAAATCATGCCTTGAATGTTGCAGGTGATGAAATACTTCAAGGTATTCTACTAAATGAGGAAGACCTCAACATCTCCATGATCTGGGAAGTGGTGGACTGGTATAGGAGGGCAGTGCTGCTAACAAGAGAGCTTGAGGTAAAGTTCGGCATCAAAATGGCATAACATGGGTGACATTCTGATTTATTGTGGAATGAGTTACTTCACCGTAATTTTTGTTTTGGTCAATAGGTTTAAAATTATAAGTCAAAAAAATGTTAAGTTGATGAAAGATTTTTTATGTACAGACACAGATGTGTCTGTACATATAGCCATCATCTGCGTCTGTCGTTGCCGTCGTCGCCGTCGCCGTGCACTTTTACCGATAACACGATAAGTGGAAAACCATTTTGCCTTTTGATTTGAAACTTGCAGAACTGATAAATATTCATAATACGCAGGTCAAGTTCGAAAATCAGCATGATCGGGTCACTCTTAGGGAATTTATGCTGTTTTTTCACTTTTTTCAACGTATATGCAGCACCGATAACACGATAAGTGGAAAACCATTGTACCTTTTGGCTTGAAACTTACAGAACTGATGAATATTCATAATANGGCCAAACTAATTTTTAGATAAAACAGCCCCAACAATTTTCCCATACTTACCAATGGTTAATGAATACATTTCTACATCCATAGTTAGTCCATGGTTTTTTTCTAAAAAGCTTTTTTTTTTTTGTAATAATCTCTTAAAGGTACATACGAACCGAGCATCGGTGGAGCGTGGATTCCCAGTAACACATGTAAACCACTTCTACTAGTTTCTTATACGACTCTAATAAATTCGACATGTCAAGGGATAAACTGAATAAATCACCCGATCAGCCATAAAAGAGCTTTAGTGCTCCTTTCTTTAAATTTTTGGTTGTCAATTTAACCTGCTTTCATGACCTACTTTTCTGCCCCATTGACATACAGCGTAGAATGCTAGCAGAAAAATCTGTTCAAACATCACTTTCCGGTAAAATTAAACAATGCCTTTTGGCAATTCTCTTAGTTACCCTACTCGAAACTATATGCTGGCATTTGGTTGGTTTTTATGACAAAAAATTGACTTTGTATGTATCTTAAAGAGTATAGCCATCTATGGAGGTCACATGGTCTGATGGCAAGCACAGATTTAAGAATAATTGCTATAACTGCCATTTTTGTGGTAAAATAGAATATTTCATGTTTTTATGAATTGTTTACAATCTATTTATTGTGGACTAACTATATATTTCATACGAAGAGTTGTTAACCCTTTAAGTTTCAAATTTATTCCCAAAATTGCATATTTTTTGGCTAAATAAAGCTTTATCTTATCTTTACGTTCTGCTCACTATCTATTCTAATGTTTGTATATTTGCCAGCTTTGCAGTCTAGTTTTTATAATATTGCCTGTATTTTCTTTGTCCGAATCAATATCTATTTAATAGTTTGCAGATATAAGTAAACAGTTGTTAGTTGAAAAAATAAATAAGGCTTCTATCTATTTCTTATCCTGTACTTGTAGGTTGAAATGGAAGCTATTGCTCTGAGTCGCATTGGTAAAGTGTTTGACAAGGTGCTTAAGATGAAAGTCAAGGCCAAGGAAAGCTATATGAGATGCATTCATCTGGCCTTGTCCATGTATCCAAGAACATTCAGTGATCAAGGTAAAACTGATTTGAAGACAATACACGTGTCCATACCAATGAAATATCAACTGATAAAGCTTAGTATATATACAAAAGTGACAAGTCTTAATGAGTGAGAGTAATTACACGAAGGCCAAAATAATGCGCCTTTCAACTTCTGTTTAAGGCTTTGTTCACATGGAATGTCTATTTTCTAAAAATCTATTTTCTATTCCAGGGCTCGACATTAGCGCCTGTCCGCCTGTCCGGGACAGGTAAAAATTCAGTTCGGACAGGTGAAGTTGCAGGGTTGGCTGTCCGACGGACAGGTCATGTTTTATGAGAAATTTGGATCAAAAATCTTTAAAAAATCATTTTTTGTTGCATACTAACGTCTTTTTGCCTCTTCCTAGACAACATTGAAAAGAGTGACCTACTTTTGGCACAAAACACATGCAGTCGCAAAACGAAGTCTGAGCAAACTTACCGCCAAATTATGAAAGTGAACACCCTCCAGAACTTCATCCACGCTCGGCTGTCACCTTGATTGGATAGTAAACNTGTATTCATGGTATATTATGATCACGGTCTGTGCCCTGAATATCCTGCGGCATAATTACTGGCAGCGCGAGCCAGTTACTTATACAAAGCTGTAATTAATTCTCGGCTGTGCTCGCATTCTATAAAATCTCATCCTCCGTTGCCGCATCGCATGATACGATGGCAAGCGATGCGGCAACGGAGGATGAGATTTTATAGAATGCGAGCACAGCCGAGAATTAATTACAGCTTTGTATAAGTAACTGGCTCGCGCTGCCAGTAATTACGCTGCGGGATATTCAGGGCACAGACCGTGATCACAAGATATACCGCGAATAGAAAATAGACTTTTAGAAAATAGACTTTCCATGTGAACGAAGCCTAATTGTATTGGAACAACCTCAAGCAAATTTATCCCCTATTTTATTCTGGCTTTTGCTGATGAAAAACAAGTCTGCTTGTTTGAAATTAGTGGCTTGGACTGAAATATCAGGCAGAATATTCTGTCACTTAAGCCAAAATTTAACATTTTAAGGCTATTGACAACTATTTTTTACAAAATCAGCAATGAATTGGCAGGTGATATAAACATTTTTGACCAGTTCATTTAACCATCAGGCAACACTCTAAATGATAGGTTGAAAATTTTCATTAGTTGTTGTCATTTATTTATCTCTATTTTCTCATGCACAGTCCTAATTCCTTTTGGCTTGCATTTTATCCAGACTGGTATCAGGAGGCCAACCAAACATTGGAGCAATACCAACAGGAGGTCCAACAACAGGAGGATTATCTCTGGCAGAAAGAGAGAGCTGAAACACTGAAAGAACTGACAGCAGAAATCAAACAGCTAGACCAGAAGGAAAATGAATACCATACATCTTTCTTGCAGTATGTTTATTATGTATTCAAGTTTAATGTTTGTTTGTATCCAGAGGTGTCATGAACTGTAATCGAGTCTACTGAATATGTAACTCAGGAACTATTGTTACTATTTGTCTCAGGGCTCATGCCCTTTGAAGCTATCGGTGTACGTTGATTGACCCAACTCTGCGGGGACTCTTGCTGAATGCAAACAGATTAACGCGAGGTCCACAAGGGGTTTGATCTATCTACATAGAATGGGAATGAGCCCATATCTTCTCAAGTTTTCAGACAATGCAAAAATACCTGTTTGTAAACCAGTTCTTTTTAGAACATACAGGCACTCAAGAATAATATATAACATTTGGATCTTATAAAAATCCTGTAAAACATACTCTGTTTGTTTTCAGGTTTGTGTACAAGACCTTCCCACCTAAGAATCCAAAGTTCGGGCTTTCAGAGGAAGCTAAAAAAGAGAATGCTTATCTTGAAAGTAGCAAGGTCAAAAAACTCCTCCAGCAGGCTGTTGTACACTACCATCCTGATAGACAGAAACAATATAATGATAAGAAATGGCTGGTTCTGAGCGAAGAGATCACCAAAAGGCTGACAAAGCGCTATGAACAAACGAAGTGAAGTAAAGTTGCATTAATGAAATTTGCTGTAGATCGATTAAAACTGAGGTGCTGAAATCATCATTTAGTATAAATATGTTGCTGACTAGCTGAACATTTTTAACTGTTGGACACTTAGATTTACAGAAAGGTGATAAGGTTTGAGTGGAACTTCGTTTAGGTACCGTTATCACTATGCTGTTGGGTGAAGCATTAGAAAAGGTCACTGTTGTGACAAACAACATGGAAAGCTTGATCATATAGTCAAAATTGTTGTACTTTCCACAATTTATCTTGTTTAAAACATTGGATAGGTGCTTTATACCGGTAGTTGGACAGCTTAGTTGTGTTTTAGTGTCCAAATAAATATGCATTTTATGAACCTGGTATACTATAACTCTTAACTTAGTTATTAGTGGTAGATGTGGAGTACAAGCACCCATTTTTGTGGTGGCTTTTTGTGCCAAAAGCAATATTTATGTTGCTGTCTTTCCCTGCCATATAATGCTGAAGTTTATCAATCAGCTGTTATTGCAACGCCTCTTAGGAAAAGCCAGAAAATGGTAAAAGCAGTTCTTCTACCTTCTTATATCTTAAAATGATATGCAGAAATGATGTGTAGATGCAGAAATTGGGTTAGCATTGGAAATTATTAAAACGGTTGTTCTTTCAAGATTTATCTTGTTTAACACCTTTGATGTGTAGTGTATGTTTAGACAGTTGTGTTTTTAATGTCCAAATAATTGTGTATTTTATTAATCAGTACAAGAGTAATAATTTTAGTGTTAGGTGTAGGGGTCAAGCACCCATTTTAGCACTGAAAACATTGTGTTACTATGCTTTCTGATCATCAGTCTTGTTTGGTTTAAAACTCGAAGTGACCCAATAAACTTGTTTTAGAATCACTTATTATTTGTATCAGTGTTCATATCAGGACAATCCCCCCCATCCTGTATCTCAGTTATCAATAAGACAATCACAACAGGAATTATTTATTGCACAATATTAAACGTTTCATTATAATTATCCAAGCTGTAAATCCTTACAAGAGACTGCAGCTCGGGTCTCTTGAAGTCCACAGCTATTTTGCAAAAAGCACCAATTTGAGTGCGTACTGTTGCAGAAACAACTGGCCAATTGATTCACTTGAGAATTTCCTTACAAGCGATCTCGTCTAGACTGAACTTCAACAGCATATGACTGAAGTTCACCACACTCATCACAAGTAATATTGGGCAGTTGTATGAGCTATGTTTGTGTCCTACAAAACCATGAAACCCAGATGCAGGTGTGTAATTGTTGTCTTAAACTTCAATAAAACTTAACACAGACAGTCTGAGTTCAATAAGAGTACAAATCTAGATGTGTGAAAATAAAGCTGGTACACATTGGACCTGGAGCTTGGTAAATCTAACATAATGAGACAAGTCTTTCTTACAGAGGAATATTGTATCACACATTGACAATGGGAGAGTGCAAATAAATTCTTTGTATTCTTGGCTCTCCATTACACAGATGGACAAAATACCCCAAGAGGTGCAAAGATGAGATGTTTACAATCTCAAAACAATTCTGATGTAAACACTTAGGAAACATTTTGGCAGGATATCGATAAGATTACACACAATTTACTCTATACTATAAATCTCACTTCCCGTTATTCAAGAAACTGAACTGTCAAGTCAAGTTATATCTTCCATGATACATAAATATAACTTTAAAAGTCAATTCTCTGTTCCCATAAATGGCAAATATCATAAATGACTGCTCCACTGTCTGTGCTCTACAGCATTTCTTTATTATTATCAATGTATGATGGAACTGTAAAATGTGTCTTTTGAAAAAAACAGGTGTCCTCTCCAATCTTACTTCAGTCTCTGTGTGACATTGGCTAAAGCAACAGCAAATGCTTGGATAGCAGAGAAAGGATGCTGAAAATCCAGGGTATAGGCATGCACATCAATACGTCCAAACTGCATCACCTAAAAGGCAAGTAGGACAAATATTTAATTCATTATTATTTTGTAATTATTATCATATTGCAAGCATTTCACTTCTTGCCATATTTCATGTTTTCCAAGCACCATCATTTCTAGTTACAAACAATTTTCTAGCATGCACCATAGTCACTCTCTTTCACAATTTTGTATTAAAAAAAAAAACAACTAAAAACTTCTAAAAATAGAATTCATAAATTTTGAAATTTTACTGCTTTTAAAATGCATGTCATGAGATATATGTCACCTGCTTTCCCCTCCATTCTATTTGAAAGTTCTTTGCAGACTCCTGTGTGACTCTGCCACCAAAGTCCAGCTGGTAGACTTGGTTAGCCTCATTCCAGATAGGAGCCTTATTGTGCATAACATGCAACTTCCTGCTGTAACCATCTCCTTCACTCTTACTGCGAGAGTGCTTTTTCACCTGTAATGTATAACATATACAGAAGATTGGTCGAGAATACTAGATCAGTGGAATAAACTCTTCAATACCACACTTTAATTAAGGTTACAGTTTCTCGGTTTTTATTGGCAATTAAAAATCAACACGTAATTATGTTTGAAATAATTATTCAACAATATAACAATAATAATAATAATTGTTGCAACTAAAAGTTGGATTTTACATATTAGCTTTAAAGGAGTGAAAAAAGTAACTGAAATACATTACGACATTAAAACATAAAAGATAAATTATCTGATTAAATCAAAATGCTTCTTTAAAATAGTTCAATAATATAAGTGAATTCATTTCTTAAAATAATAAATCAATCAGTTTCTTAAAAATAGTTAAATAGCATAAAATAATTCAATTATTTAAATGTTACATCAATCAATTTCTTTAAAATAGTTTAAAGTTTATACATAAAAAATTCTGAGGGCCCATGGGATAAAAGTTTGCAGATCTAACAGTTCTATGTTTTGGGATATAAAGGTTCTGGGATTGTCTCAGACAATGCAAATGTTCTTTAACTTTTGGTATAATAAATGATTTAGTCTATCCTCTTCTATACACATTTACGGCATAAACTGCTGCACCTGCTTGGCAAAGGAACAGAGGTACAGTAGTCATGTAATTTTTACAATGCCTTACTCAGAATGCCCAATGATTTATCCAAAATATTCAGAAATATCTTAAACAACCTACAGTAATTTGACATTTCTATCAGACCAGAGGGCATCAGTACCAATTTTGCCCAACATTATTCAGTTAAGAGTTGAATGAGGGGGAAAAATAACACCATAAATGGGAAATGTTTCCCCCTGACCCCCCAAACCCTTCCTGCCATTCTATAATCCACTTTTCCAAATGTCCCTAATACAAACTTTCCTCTACATTTAGCAGCAAAGTAAGAAGTAAATATGCACATAAGCTGACCAGAACCTACATGTACTAGTACCTACCTTCTGTTTGAGCTGAGATTTCTGAAAACCTTCCAAGTCCTTCAAGTTCTGACCTCCATTTGAGCTAACATACATGTCTTCATCTGAACTGTCCAAAGGGACCTTTCTGCCCTTGCATTCTTCAACTATTTTTACGGTTTTTGGTGATGATGTTGATTTTCTGTTGGGAGAGTTGTTACTTGTTTGCTTTCGAGAAGCATTCTGAGATCTTTCAAAAAGCTTGCTTGACTGTGGAATGGAATTTTGTCCCTTTTTTAAATCTGTAAGTTTGTTGTCTGATAAAACTCTTCCACTAAAACGAAATGAAGAATGGTCCAGTGCACATTCTTGCTCTTTCTCTGGGAGATCTAAACTGTGGCTCTTGCCATGCAAGGTAAAATCTGAGTTTGTTAAATGAGACTTTCTTCTTACCAAAGGACTGGAATGTAATGCATTTAGTTTGTCATAGGATGAATCATTGGTCAAGCTTTCAATGTGGTTAGATTTTGGATAATCCAAATCCTTGTTATAGCTATCCATGGCGACTAACCCATTTTGGGGAGGCTGTCCATTCAATAATTTCAAGTCAACATTTCCACATAGAGATTCATTATGTGTTAGATAAGTCTCCTGAAATGCAACTTTTTCTTCTTGAGCAGAGTATGTAGCACCCTCACATTCCCCAATAACTACACCTGAATTAACGTTGCTTGCAGCTCCTCCGTCTGGTGCTGCCATAAAGACTATTGCACTTGTGTTAATCTGGTCCACTCCAGCAGCCCCTGCTTCCATACAAACTGCTGCTTTAAGATTTGCCTTTTTGGCAGAATCATCAGTCTGTGTTTCTGCATTAGCAAATACATTTGGTTTACAGCTTAGAAGTGGAGATTTGGGAGCCACCGGCAGAGCATCATCATCAGGTGACAGCCTCAGCGGATCCACTAGAGATTCTTGAAATGTACCTATAACATATATTATTCATTGTAGGCATTTAATTTCATAACTTCATACCAAAGCCTATTAACTATGATGCAACATTTTTCTCAAGTTTAATATTTACATTTTTAATACAATTCAATGCCTTTCCCTTATCTTTATCAATTTTTCAATTTCATCACACTTTTTTCATACACACACACACACACACACACACACACACACACACACACACACGACAGTAATATGTTAGGACAAAGTGAGGGCAGAGGAAAGTGAAGAGCTTCCTTTACCTGTGAGGTCCTCTTCTTCATTATTAGCACCAAAGTCACTGGTCAGTGGTCCAGCAGCAGTCAGCTCTCCTTCCATCTTGTCATCTAGATCAGTTACCATGACAGTCATCTGGCGTGGCTGGAGGTGAAACAGGCTGGTCTTGTAGATCACCTCACCTAGGTTGGTTGGCAGGTCTTCTGTCAGACCTATAAACTTAAACTTTGTTCCCCAGAAGTTGGATGTCACTTCAACTAGTCGGTTTTCCTAAAACAATATAAAATGCTTCTGAATGGACAGGACAGGACTGAACAACTTTTAATCTACAGGGAGAAAATCTACAAAACTTATCGAGAAAATTTTCAATGGAGTTATCAATTAAATATTTCAAATTGTTCATTTTTTCAAAAATCAAATTTTAGTAAATTATTACTTGCAAAAATAAACTTACTGACACTTACAATATAACATTTTACAGCTTTCAAAACATCCTTTCCTTTTTTGTTCCTCTTTTGTGCGTAATAACTGTAATACTTTGTTGTGTAATCTATCAAGTTAATCACCAGACTTTACCTCAGGAAGATGGTCTTCCTGCCACCTATCATTGCACCTATCTCTTCCAGGTGTACCATTTTTTCTGTCACCACTCCTTGGACGTTTCTTCTGTTTTTTCTTCCTCCTTGGCCTAGGAGAACCACAGCCAGTGTCAAGGATGGGCTCATCTTCACCATTGGAACTACAACTGCATCCACTACTGCTGAACACTTCATCATCACCATCTGCAACATGTTAAAAAGCATGAACAACAATATATTATACTGATGGTCATTTATACATATGTTTAATAATATATCTAACATATGGAAAACATAGGAAATACAGCTTTAAAAAATCTACCACAAGATGAAACAAGGCAGCAAAGCTNGCTAAACGCGTGGAAAAAATGAGACAAAACAGGCGCTTAGAAATGTGTCTCAGAGCTAAACACTGTTTTTACAGTGTACATAAAATGCAATTCATCAATTCTCAAAACTCATTTATTTTATTTAATAATTACAAGTACAGTGAAAGATCAAAACAGGCCTAAATCTGTAGAACTGAAGAATATTTAGGATTATTTAACCGAAGATATAATTCTTTCTGCAAATATCTAAGAGAGGAAAGAAAAGTACCTTCTTGATCTGCATCTGTACCTGTCATAAATGTGTTTTGACCAGATTATGACATACATGTAAGAAGTCGGCATCCACAACAGATGATCCGGGGACTAACTAGTTCCTGGATCAAATATGGCCGACCCCACTTGAAAGCAATTCTTCAAACCCCCTAACTGTCTCCCCGCCTACATCACACGCGCCATACCTGGCAATAAAATCTTGGAGCCGTTTAGGATGGCGCGTGCGGTAGGCAGGAGACCATTAGGGGATTGTGCAACATTGTTTTCAAGTGGGGTAGGCCATATTTGATTCGTGGACAAGTTAGTTCAAGGATCATCTGTTGTGAACGCGGCCTAAGATTGCACACAGGTCACATACCATAAAAATCCTCCACGTAAAGTTTTGTATGTGATAAAGGAATCGTGGTGCTTATTTATCGCTCGATTGGTCAAGTGCACGAATTTGTTGTTCAAACTGTCCACGTCGTTCGAGTATCTGGAACACAATCAGATTTATGATTAAGGGGTGTTAATTATGTTATTACACAGGAATGTAACCAGCAAGGGTGTCTTTGTCAGAAAAAAAACAACGCTTTTTATCAGTTTTGGTTCTGGGTGGGTGGGCTTTTAACTGTTAATTCCAAGCCCTCCAGACCCCCCGGCTCGTTTTAACAATATCCTTTAAAATACTGTGTAATTTAAGTATTCAACAGCTTAGTATAGAAACGGGTCGTTATCCTAATGGAATTTCCCTCTAGGGTCCTATAGGGTGTCCTGTAGGAAATTGGTCCATAATCATATAGGACCTATGCCTTAGTTTAGTTAGATATGTTTTCTATAGGCCTATCGGGTCACATAGAGTCCTATAGGACTTCCTACAGGAAATCTTTGTAATGGTACCCATTCCTGTGGAATAAAGATTCTCATTACCATGTTATCAATTTGCAAGGAGGTGAACTCTCATATTCAAGTTCCCATTTGTTTGTTAGTAGACGCCCACTATCATGTAAATGGGCCTAAATCCTGTTTGTATCGTTTAGTTAAGCCCCCTTTACACTGAAAGGTACCCTTTCTGCGTCCCGTAGTACGGCCCCGTTTGAGAGTAAAAATTTAATACTTTACGTGCCGACAACTGGCCGATCATTGAGCATTTATTCTGCAACCAAAGCGATGCTTGTGCCTCCTTTCTACGACCACAGTTATGCCAGTTTCATAGTCGCACTAAGGACGCAGAAAGGACGCCATCCAGTGTAAAGGGGGTTTTACTCTAACATATTATTAAGTATGGACGCCATGTCCTGTGCATATCAATTATTACGTCACGTTCACCATCATTTATCCAGTTTGAACTTCGAGGTACATTGAAATGACAAAGCATGTGTGTGTGTGTGTGACATCGGTCATATTACATACCTGACAGTTGCCAATTTGACTAAACCTTTGTTCAATATGTAAAATCGAAGAGGGTCTAAACAAGCTATGAACACGAAAAGCCTCAAGTCGTTTTTCTTGCCATCCAGTAGATAAGGTTTATCGATGTATCTGGAACAGAACAGTAAGCACTGAAAGATAAAAAATTCTGGTCCAATCTGCAAAAATCCATCATTTTGTTCAGTATATTTCATGACCCATTGTTTGTTTTGTATTTATATTTTCTACTCATGTGTTATACATATATGTAATAAACGTGTACAGTACGGTAGGTTTATTCCTTGCTACACATACCTTTGGACAACCGTTGGTGGACTCGAGGGTACGTCCAATTGCTCCCACTGATGAACCACCTCAACATTTCTTCCACAACAAGAGAATGCCTACATTTAAACAAAAACACACCGTAAATATTGTTATGAATGTTATTTCAATAAAAAAACGTGTATGAACCAATAAACATATATATTAGTACATAACTTTGCTCTGGGCCACTTTAAAATTTGCAGATCATCTGCAAAGCACAATTGTTACATGTTGAATGTAAGTCCAACATATATTAGCGCAATGACATTGTTTGTGAGTATGCTTGCGTGCGTTATTATTTATTCTCCAGCTGAGGCCAAGTGGGCGTCACTTCTGTGCTAATAATTATATGCTCGGTGCTCGGTGTACAGATTGTGTCCAGAGCAAGCCAGAGAAATATATGTAAAAATGTCGTCGTGGTAGAGGGTTATATTTACATGCAGGCCCTTAGCCAGCAATTTCAAAAGGATGGACTCTTTTTGTGAAAAAGAGGACATTTTACCATGAAACCTCCATGCACTGGTACCTAGATAAAATTTTGCCCAGAGGGGAACTTTCCCAAGCAAAATGTGTGTACTTTCGAACCCTCAAACCCCCCTGGCTACGAACCTGACATGTATGTACATTGTATGTCAGTGCGTTCTTATACTTCACCGGTTTGACAATCCACTTTGGTTCTTCACTGCTCTTGTTCCAAGCGGCTTTCAATTGCGCCTTCTCAAAGGGCAAAATAAACGTCTCGGGTGTGATATTGAAGTCTTTGTCGCCGTGTGTTTCCCTCAGACGCCTAATGTTCAAAGCTAAAAAGTCTTTTCGATAATATTGTCCCCTGTTTGGTATGACGCCGCACTACAAAGCCGAAATGAATAACTTTAAATTAAGCGATCAAAAATGTTGTTTTGCACCATTATACTAGTGATTACTTTTTGTTTTCTTGTACATTTCTTAACTTTCAGAAAGACTGTATCTTTCAGAGGTAATCAAATAATATTATATTTAATTCTTATCTATAATATCCAGAATATTCGCACACTGCATAGAAATAATGCTTAGTCTAAACGAGGAAAGTCACTATAACCTTTTGGTGTGGCCTTAGATTCTTCATTATGCTGATTGTCTCCGTTAAGAGGAACATTTGTGCGTGGTGCCCCAGCCATTCATTTGAATCTAATAAAAAGTTACAATGATATTTAATTTGAATTATGAATTATGCCAAAAAACTACAAAATTCTCAATGAGCGTACTTCAAAAAAAAAATAGAGTTAATTCATATTGTTTATTCTTGTTTACTGGTCTAAAGTATAGAGAGAGAGAAAGTAATAAAAAGCAAAAAAATATATGTATAAAATTATTCAAATAAAATTCCCTTAATCTGAAAGTAAAGTTTTGTTGTCTGATGTGAAAAGTTCTTTTCTATATTAGAACATCTGGATGATGACTAAATGTTTTACCCATTTGTCTCTATAATTTTTATGATATTAACTGAGCAGTAAAATGAGTAGTGAAACGTGTCCCTCTACCCATCAGTGTTTACTACTTAAGAAGCATGGCGATGGCCCCAAAAAATTCTACATAGGCTATGATTTAGCTAATTATATGCACGTAGATCAGTTCTCCTGAAATGTACTTCTTTTTTTCTGATATTCGAAATATTGACGCTGTGTTTTAACTAGTCAGAGAGAGAATTCACCGTAAGTATTTTCAAACCACGACCGTTCCAAGCATTCCTTCACAAGCATGTTTGTGCCGCCTGTGTCTAGCGAATACCATTTCAGATACTTCGCAATTTTCTCATGCGGTGGCTCCACTGAAAAAAAAAATTTGTGGCAATATATATTAAAATATAATCAGCTAATATATATTTTCTTCTACTCAACTAGGCCAAATTTAAGATGTACAGATATAGTACTACAACAAACTAATTTTCCTATGCATAATTTCGTCTGAAATGAAACTGTACACATTTAAAGGTTCTATAACGAACAAATCCTTATGGTTCCTCGGTTTATGCATCATGGATCTTGATACACAATACAACTTGTACATTAATTTACACATCAAGGCTTTCTATTGAAAAAAGAAGGTAAAAAACACTGTTTATACATCTGAAAAAAAATACACACACATCCCTTCGAATGTCGAATGTCCTGACAACATCAGGCATATTAGAATATCGCCCACCTTGCTGTCCTATGGCCACGAAGTTGATCGTGGGTGGAACTTTAGGGAACAGACTGGGTGTAAGAAGAGGGTGCATGGTGTAGGAGCTTAATGCTTCTGATACGTTTGGTTTTCCGTCGAAGGAACAATATTCATATATTCTCGGTTTCTTCTGGTCTATCTTCCCTAGAAAATGAAAAAATGCAACGATACAAGTATACTGAACAAGTTTTCTGTCAAAGGTTCGGCATACAATACAAGTTTGCATCTACTCATCGCTTCCCTAATTGGTGTTAACAAACATGCGTATCGACACTTAATACTTTTACTCTTAAAAGATTAATCTTTAAAAATATCAGGTATGTAACCGTACAAATTGAGCAGATGCATAGTTTATCCCACTATGCACGTCTACTTCAATAACCCGCATGACACAGCCCTATACATAGATAATATACTACAGATATTCCACAAAGGTAACACTGAATCACGACATTGTCGCTCATACATCGGATTCTGACATGCTCCATCGTTTTTTTCTGTTTTACATACTGTAATTCACACCAATTATGTGGAAGAAATCAATAGTTATTTAAATATTTTATATAATTAAATCTAATTAAATTTTGTTTTTTAAAGTTTTGCAAAACAGCTATGTTTTGCTAAATATTACACAAAACACGTGTACCGACGTGTACTGATGTCTACCAGTGTGTTATTTTGTAT